TTGGTTTTGGAAAGGCTAGAAAAAAGAATCCACCCTCCAATGCACAATCGCAGTTTTATCGTATGGTCAATTACTGTTTTTCCCGGAAGCCTGGAGGGAATCATGTTTGGTCATGTGTGTCTCTTTCTGCAGCTAGTCTCGCATACCACTGGATCCATCAGTCTAATATTTTCTGTGCACATTTATGACTGTTTGCTCAAGGACCTTTCGTGGTTGCAGTGAATTACAATTTTTGAAAATCCTATTTTTTGACTGAGCGTGTCATAAAGTTTAGACTTGCGCCTTTTCAGCAGAATTCAACATTTTATGATATGCGTTATAACCATAGACTGTATGGTTATAACATAGCATAAAACATTTCCGGCAATCTGCAAAGCTAAAAACAAAGCTTACCTAAATTTTTACAGATGACATTTTAGGCCTTCGTCATGGCCTGACATCATCTTGAACCAGAGCATCTGCAGATTAATTTCATACCTACGATCCTCTAAAGTTAGGCATAATACAAGATTAATAAATCAGTTTTTTTTTTGATAGTTGGGGAGCTGATAGGGACAAACGAGTGAGATTCAACACTTCTTTGTTTTGGAGGGGAGATGGAAGTATCAATCAATCAAAATCCATCAAAATTTATTTATAGAGCACTTTAACAGCAGTCACGAAGATGCACAAAGTGCTGTACAAAGAAAGAAAAAAAAAAGCAAACATCAATTTACAGGTTATCACATACATATAATGTATACCGTTAAAACACTAACAAATGTGTTCCAGATGGAAGAGATGGGTTTTAAGACAAGTTTTAAAATCAGACATTGAGGAAGCCTGTCTAATGTTAAGAGGAAGGGCATTCCACAATTTCGGAGCTGCCACCGCAAAAGCACAGTCCCCTTTAAGTTTGCGACGGGTTTTAGGCACTCTCAGGAGAAGTTTGTCAACTGACCTGAGCGAATGGGTGGGTGTATAAGGATGAAGCAGCTCAGATAAATAAGGGGGGGCAAGGCCATTCAAGGATTTAAAAGTCAGTAAAAGAAATTTTAAATCTGTCCTCAATTGAATGGGTAGCCAATGGAGTGAGCATAGAACTGGGGAGATGTGTTCATATTTACGTGTTCCTGTTAGAAGACAAGCTGCAGCGTTTTGCACCATCTGGAGACGGGCGAGAGACAATCCATTCATCCCAACGAATAGTGCATTGCAGTAATCCAGTCTAGTAGTCACAAAGGCGTGTATAACTAGATTTAACCACGAACCCAACGTGTTTATCCAGTTTCATATCGGCATCAATTTTGACTCCTAGGTCAGTGATGGTTGGCGTGACATTCTGAGCTAGGGGGCCTAGATCGAGGTGAGGGGGGGAGTGAGTCCCAGGGGTGCCGTTAAAAACCATCACCTCTGTTTTGTTTTCATTAAAACTTAAGAAGTTGAGAGCCATCCAAGCCTTTATGTCCTCTAGACATGCAAACAATGGTCTGAGAGTGTCATCCTTACTCAAAGGTACATTGATCTGGCTGTCATCTGCATAACAATGGAAAGAGATGCCATGTTTCCTAAGTATTGAGCCAAGTGGGAGGAGATAAAGGGAAAAGAGAAGAGGGCCTAGAATTGAGCCTTGCGGGATGCCACAGGAGAGGTGCGCCGTTGTAGTCACCACAGTTGACACTGAATGTCCTACCTTTCAAGGAGGATTAAAACCATTTTAGGGCTATGCCTGTAATTCCCACCCATCGCTCTAAACGAGAGACCAGAATTTCATGGTCCACAGTGTCAAAGGCAGATGTCAAATCCAGAAGCACAAGGGCCACACAGGTCACTAGCATCTGTTGCTAAAAATATATCGTTAAAAACTTTTACGAGAGCAGTAGGGAGGAGTTATATTTTGCGTGGTGTGTTACAACAAAATGTTCTAAATAAATAGCTTCCTTATTAAGTTTATACAGTTAGGCGAACCCAGGACACTGTTAAAATACCATTACACTGTTCTATGCATCTTAAAGAAAACTGAGACTATACTATACAAAACACTTTATTAAAAACTTTGCATACTTCTTAATAAGAAAACTTAAGACTTTCATATACAAGAAACATTCTTCCCTTCATTCCACTTCTCTCATGCATACACGCTGGACACACAACCTGCCCTGCATTCCCTGTTCGTACCTTCATGCACTCTTCTAGTTCTGCATGTTTATTAAAGACAAAGTCAAGGCTTTTGGGAAAATTAACATACAACCTTTTTTATTGCCTTACCATTACTGAAATATATGTAATCCGGCACCATGTATTACCTCTAAAGTACATCTGACCTATTTGACTGTGCTAGTATATCTGAATTCTTATAAATCCATTTGTGGCTATCCTGTACAGTTGTGTGGTGATTCAATGACTCAGTATGCAACGGACTACCTCTGCATGGCCGCTGCCCACATCAGATAAAACACTTAAACAATTACTGTCTTATCTGCTGTGGTGGGAGAAGAGCTTGTGGCCTCATTATGACCAGATTAGAGAAAGGAACAGAGCCCAGTCCCACTCATTCTTCACTCCTGATCGTCAGTCCACCGGGCCTTCAGGTGACACTAACCACATTACAGTCTTCACACAGACGGACATAATGATAGTCGAACATAACCGTCTGAGACTCACCAGACTTTTCTTCCATTATAGCTCTCACTTTTTTCACGTGTGATTTCATCTTCAGGATTTGCGGTGCAAGACCACCACAGCAATGACCACTTAATAATAATAATATACGGTATCAAGGAAAAATAATTATTGTTCATTGTTAATGATGGTAGTAAGTGTTGTAGTGTTATTACATTTATGGGTGTAGCACTTTTCAAAATCAAATCGCTTAACATCGAGGTTAGCAAAAGTAAAGCACATTGAACTCATAATAGAGCCTGAGCCAAACAGGATTTTTGAGGCAGATACTAACATCTATATTTAAGAGTTCTGATAACAATATATCAGCCAATACGTTGTTTTTGTTAAAGAATCGTTATCAACATATACTGTATAAACTGGCATGTCTTTAAAATAACTAAATTCACAAAAGAATTAGTTGTTTTTTGTTTTTTTTTACATGTTTTAAAACATGTCTGCAGGGGATCTTTAACTATGACAAACACTAAAATTAAATAGTCTAAAATAATAATAGGTGTGAGCAAAACTTTATTATGAGCATTAAATTAGTTTAAAAATTACCTTAAACTTATCTTTGGAATTTCTGTTCTGCAATTGCTTATTATTTATTGGCTGACATATAAGCTGTCCGATGTTGCTGCTGCTGGAAATAAAAAATATGTAGAATAGAATTGTACCCAGGAAAGACCACCTCACACTAAATGCGTACATCAACAATTTCTGCAAATGTGAAAGCTTTCATAAACTGGGCTAGAGCTGAATCAGTAACAGTAATCAGCTGTATAAAATACTGTATAAAAAGTCAGATTTTGAACATTGAAACAATGAATGCAATGGCAAGTAATGGCACAATAAAGAGAAAAAGTGAAAGTAGAAGCTGTTTTAGGAGATGGCACTGATTTTTACCAGCCTGCCTCAAATCTCCTTGTGCTTTTCTTTCTGTCTCCGTCGCTCTCTTTCATGTGCAGACAATGTAAAAAAAGACACTCCGAAATTCAACAATAGCGTTTGAAAGAATGATGAAATCTTAATGCTGTCTTTGTACTGTCACGCACACTATCTCTCTCTCTATTTCTCACTTTGTCATGTTTTATTTTTCTGTCCTGTTCATTCACTCGCTGCCTGCATCCCTCCCTTTCTTCCTCTGCAGGGCAGTGAAGGCCAGCTGTTTGTGTTGCAGGCATCTAGTGGTCTCCATTCTAGCATGCCCTTGCATTTCTTCCGGTGTTTTTCTCCCACTCAGTACCGGAGTTACATCAGAGTTGTTTTTGGCTGTCTGAATGTGCTCTGACAGCTTTTGACAGGTCTGATGGCATTATTATTTATCTAATCAACACCCAGTACGCTTTAGCATTTTGCATTACTGTTAATTGATGGTCCCTCATGTAAATCTATCACAGGGTATTTTGATGTTATACCAAAGGCCTGATGCTGTTATGATGGGCATCACTGGGAGGAAATGAAATATGGATAGTTAACTTCTAAAAGTGGCCAGCTGACAAAAAACGAGACGTGACTTTTACTAATTGGCGGATGACATAAAATTTGCATAGTGTAGGCTTTTTAGCCATGCTAGCAGCAATGTTGGCATTCAGTCGGAAATATCTCAACAACTATTGAATGGATTGCCATGAAATTTGGTGTATTAGGATTAGTTATTAGGACAAATCCAGTGTGTATTGGGACAAATGTTAGTACAGATGTTTATGTCCCCTTCAGGATGAATTGTAATCACTTTGGGGATCCTTTTAGGAATCTTTTACCCTAGCTCCATACAGCTCCACACATACATACTTTGATTTTTGACCAAATGTAAAACTAAAGACATTCCCATCAGCCCCAGCTGCACTTTGTCTTTTGTGCTAATTGTCAGGTGTTAGCATGTGAACAAGCTAAAATAAGACGGTACAGAGCCAGACTAGATGTTTACAGTCTTCGTGCTGCCTTGGTAAACATTATACCTGCTAGCATGTTAGCATTGTCATTGTGAGCATGGTAGCTTGTTAGGTCAGTTGTTGACATTAGCATTTAGCTCAAAGCACCACTATGCCAAAGTACAGCCTAACAGAGCTGCTAGTATTGCTCTACGAATCCATGGCTTTTTGAATCAGTATTTTTCTTTTATTAGTTAGATGATATTCAATCATTATAAATCAGCTGTTTACTTTACATGCTGTACATTGGGGTTTAATTGATAGTTTATTAAAGAAAACAATACATTACACGTTGTAAAGGATGTAAAGGATGAAAACTATCAATATCAATCAAGTGTTCATATCCACATTACATGAAAAAGTTGGAAAATATGATAAAATTTTCATTTTTCTGCTCCTCTGTCATCCCCCCCCCCCGTGTAGACCATGCTGACTGCCATCTCGATGAGTGCCATCGCTACAAATGGAGTAGTGCCAGGTGGGTGAGCAGACGCTGGCACCACACAGTCATCACTGTTTGAGTCTGTCCGCTTCTAAATTTCTCTTTTCACTGATTGCTTTTGGCACATAACACCCAGCGCAGCTTGATATCCTCAGAAACATGTAAAGCTTTAGTCTGGGATTTTGTGCACTTTAACTTGTCGTCACTCAATGTTATTTAAACAAAACAAAACATCAGCCAAATGCATGAAATGTATGTGTCTGTATCGCTATACTGCATACAGATATAGAGTTTACATAGTAATGATGGCCTGTATCTTACCAGTTGGAATGTGTACAGCAGGGGTCAGAGCAAATTACAGGCTTGTGGAGAAGTGTGGAAGTGTACGCCAATTATAACTGTCTCTGTTATAACTGGTTTCAGCCATTGTGCTGCTGCAAAGTGCTGATTAAGGTCTATTTATTTATGTTAAGTTAATTTATTTGCATGTTGTTTGGAAATACAAGCAATGTGGTAAAACACAATCATGAAAACAAAATTGGTCACAAAAACAGCGTAACCAAAACTGCAAAGCAAATTCACTAACAAAGACCACGCCAGCATGATATGGATGTAGGATATTTTATTGTATGATACGGATGGAGTAGAGCTGAGATTATATGCCAGAATGCGTTAGGGATCTGGATGGAGGGATGAAGGGATGAGGAAGAAGAGTGAGGGGTTGAGGGAAGTGGCGATGAAGAGATAAGAGTGACGGATGAGGGAATGGAAAGGTGAGGTATAGAGGGTTGAGGGGAGGGATGGATGGATGGATGAGAACGAGGGATCGGAGTCAGCCGGTGGCAGGTAAGCAGGAGACGCAGGTGAGCCGTCTCTTCATGTGTTCTGGAACGTCGTCGACCGGCGGCAGTAAGACGTGGAAGGGAACCAGGGGAGTTGAGACTCTGTATGGGGGAACCGTCTCTTCGTGTGCTCTACTGCGGATAGAGCCCCCAGTGGTTCCTGCATTCAAACAAAAAGAGACAAAGTGAGAGAAGAGAAAAAAGAAAAGGGGTTTGTGTGGGAGGGATGTGAAAAACGAGTCAGAGGGGAAGAGAACGGATGAGGTGTGCTTAAATACTTTGAGCGGAAATGGGATGTGTTCGAGGCGTGGTCTTCATTCCCCAATCTAGTTTATAAAACTTCATGTTGGAAAAGTAGGCGAATAAACATGTAATCAATTATTGGTGTCACAATCAATTAATAACTTTTCAAGTTAAAATTGAAAATTGAATTTTTGGGGGTTCTGGTAACATGATGAGCATTTGTCATAATTAGTTTTTTTACACGAGTTAAATATGAAACCAAAATAGATTAATTGGCATTACTGATGATTTTTTTGTAGCAAAAAGTGGTGGCACTCAAATGTCAAACTTAAATCCAACTCACTTAATAAAAATAGTGAAAAGCACATTGAGTGATTCATACAGTTGCACATTAAAAGAGTATGTCAATTGTGTTTAAATCACATCAGTACCTAAATACAAACACCACACACATATTTCTGAGTGTTTCTGTTAATGTTGTTGTGTTTATGTGTAGCTGGAGGCTCCTATTACATGATATCCCGTTCGCTGGGCCCTGAGTTTGGCGGAGCAGTGGGGATCTGTTTCTATCTGGGAACCACCTTCGCTGGAGCCATGTACATCCTGGGGGCCATTGAACTCCTCCTGGTGAGAAACATCCTCTGTACTGTACTCCCCTCTCATTATTTAACTGTCATCATCAGGGTGTCTGCTTTATATTTTTATATATGAGCATCTTTGGTCAAGGATTAGTCCAGTCCAAACAGGATTCAGCCCAGTATGTCGGACCAGTCCAACCAACTTTAAAATTAGGCATTGTAGATATAGAAAGGTGCCTTTCTCTGCAGGTGCATGGCCTATTTCTCACCACAGATTTATTCTGAAACTGACACTACTTAATAATTGGTGAAAAATGGACAACATTTCCAGAACAGCTGCAATTTCTTCTCAGACTGGAAATTAGATGCAAATACCCAACGACAGCCCAGTGAGTGGGTTCATGATGATGTTAGTAAAGGAAAGAACCAACAACTGTCTCCTTTTGTAAAGCCTACTTGAAATTACATCCATTTCAAGCTTATTCACCCATGGCGTTGCCAGACCACAATGTGCGAAAGGGAAAATGATGGGATAGCTTTGCCAGGTTAGTGGAGGATGACCACTTTTCCTTCCCTGCAGTAAACTCTGCACATCATACTTGGACAATTGTGTCATCGTGATAACACTATCATAAAGCTACTCTCAAAAGGAAGGCAATGTCATTGTGCAGCAAGTGCAGAATTGCCATGATTCGATATGACTTCTTTATTAAATTATCTTGGTAACACATAAAAGATTGATATGGTCCAAGGTCCAAAACTGGTGCCAATATTGGAAATGCTTCAATGATATGAGGCAGGGAGCCAAACAAAACCAGCAGCACAGAGGTGTTCAAAAACCAATCACTGATGTCTACTGAGAATATAGGACCATCATATCATTGAATCATTGAGTATCATTGAAGTGTCTTTTCCAAGGGAGTCTTGGCCTTTTCTGCCACTTTGTTATTCAATATGAGATTGTGTTCATGTTAGACATTTTCTTTTTGAGAATGGGGATATTTTGCTCAAACCACTACTGACTGACATCAGTCACATTGATGTTATTTTAAGTAGTCAGGGAAGTCTCTTGGAGCAGTTAACTTAAACAAATAGTTAAAAAATTTTGGAAAGACACTGTCTTGACAAGTCAGATGCGAAGATTGATACCACTCTGATGTCTGTGTGTTCAATATGAACATGCCGCCAGCAGCAGACCAGAACAGCTAGCCTAGAAAGATATTACATGGTAGTGAGCTTAGGTGCTGGTAGGTGGATTTTGTTACCTTTGGACAGAGCTAAGTTAGCTGTTTCGCCCTAATTCCAGTCTGTATACTAAGCTAAACAGCATAATATCTTCTTAAATGTGACGTGTTTCCACGTGTGGCCCCCATCCACACCTTACCTGACCAACACTGTTAGGTCAGGAGGAGAATGGGGGAGAAATTAATACATTAGACCTCAAACAATTGGATTTTGGAAATGTAATCAACATTTTTACCAACAGATGTTGAAACACACACCTCGGACCAATAATATTATGGCTCAGCTAGCTACTACGAGGCATGTGCTAGTGGTCAAGTGTAGTTTACATGATGGGCGTGGGTTAGCTAGAAGAGAAGAGGGGAATTCAAATATTACTTTAACTGTGTTTTTAATAGTTTTTTTTTAGTTTTTTTATCAAAATCCAATTGGGCAGAATATAATCCAAGAAGAGTGTTTGTTGTCACTGTAATCCCTGAAAGCAAAATACAGCTTGACTGCTGCAGACTTTGACACTTCAGTTCAGAATGAATCAGTACCTCAATGAATGGGGAATTGGCAAACGTGAGAACAAATCCTGTGGCCCCCCCAACAAAAATGAAATGGCACCGCTATGTGCCACACGCCTTTGTGAAAATATAGTTCTTCTGCTTGAGTTTATTTTCCTCCTCACTGTGCTTTGAAGCTATTTTTTCTAAAGCCGTGTGTTCTTCAGCGTGAATTCTGATCAGTTGATGAAATGCAGGGATCTATCATCTCGATCTTCACTCCTCTCCTCTTCTTCCTCCTCCTCCTCTGCCTTTTATTTTACACTTCTTCCACTGCAGTGCCCCATGCTGCATGGACTATTGGGTAATAATGCAAATACTGCATTAGCGGGCAATCAAGACACTGGCGGAGAAACAAGACCATTCCTTGAAACCCACTTTGGTCCACTGTTATCAATATACCAGTGGGTTTTTCTTCTGTTATTCTCCTTCTGGATGCTTCTAATGGATACGTAGGGTGTGATCATGCCTGGAGGTTAATTTTGTCTTCTGGGTCAAAGCTGGCTTAGTTTCCATTGTAAAATAACAATCCCTGCAGAATTGTAAGGAGCGGATCTGAAGAAGGCTGATTTGAATATGTTTCATCCTTCCACCCAAGCCAAGAACACAAACTGATGCTGCTATTTTGGGAAGCATGAACACAGTGAAGCAGGAGATTTGTTTGCCTAGTGATATGCTGTTCTTAGCATCAGATCAGTTTCTCCAGCCAAATGACCGGAATGAGCCATGACTCCCTGCTTGTTCTTCTCAATTTCATTTCCTCAACTGTTTTAAGTGTAAACCAAATGATTATTTTGAAAAAAAAGAAGAAATTCCCATGCTTATGTAACAGCTTCACCATGAATGATCAAAAGCTGATGACAGATACTGACAGGCTAATTAGAGGTTTACCGTTTTATATATGATGGGACTATTCTTAGATTGACCCGTAGTAAAAGTGTAATAATGGCAGTTAATTTCGAATAGTAATACCAAGCTTGAGTTTTTTAATTAAGTTGAAATAAAATAGCTCACCAGAATTATGTATGCTGCTTCAAGCTCCAGTAGAGGACTGTTAATGTGAGCATCACATGTTTTCACACTTCACAGAGTTGTCCTCCTCACTCACCTCATACCTTTCTCACCTCTTCTTTATTATATTTCAGCTTTTGTTTTTTACCCAGGGTGAAATTTATTAAATTCAGCAGTAAACAGTGAGCTAGAGGAGCAGGCTTGTGACCTGAAATCTGCCAGTTTGAATCCCCAGACAGGCTGGGGAAAAGTGAAGAGGGAAAGTGGATGAGTAACACTTGCACTCCCTAAACAACTAGCAGCAAGATGCCCTTGAGCTACAATAAGATTGTATGCAACTTTTATGTGAAAAATGCAGGTGTACTTTCCCTGGATATATTGTATGCAGGGGTGGTGATGGTGCAGTGGATAAGATAAATGCCTTTGGTGTGAGAGACCCGGGTTCAAATCCGCTGTGAGACACCAATGTATGTCAGAGGTCGCAGGTCTAAAGCAGGAATAAAAGCGTCAGCTAAAATGAATAAATGTAAAAACACATTATAATATAATAATATCTCTGCTTCAGATCTACATAGCTCCCAAAGCGGCCATCTTTCCCCTGGAGGGCCTGGAGGGTGCCGAGGCAGAGGCCGCCCTGCTGAACAACATGCGCGTGTACGGCACCATCCTGTTGACCTCCATGGCCACGGTGGTTTTTGTAGGTGTGAAGTACGTCAACAAGCTGGCCCTGGTGTTTCTGGCCTGCGTCATTCTCTCCATCCTGGCTGTCTACGCCGGGGTCATCAAGACCGGCATCGATCCTCCCATATTCCCGTAAGCAGTGATAACAGACAGACTGTCAGTCAAGACAGTCTAACAAAAAATATGCTTAGCCACAAAACATAACCCTGACAGCCAGGAACACACTTTGGCACGTACAGTAAACACCTGATGTTGGAACACAAGCACACAACACATGCTGAATTTGTAAAAAGTCACTACATTGATGCTAGAATGCCATATGTATTGATTTTGAAAGCTTGGAAATGCATAAAATTGTGAACTATTTGTTTTGATTTAATTGAAATACTCCACACACACACACACCCCATGTGCCAATAATACTACAGTATGTATTGACAGGTGAAGGTCCAAATACTTCTAGGCTTGTAGGTTAAACTTGCAGTCAGTCATTAACATGCTGATGAATCAACAGCTATATGGAACCTAGATGTCTATTTTTCAACCCACTTTAGCACTCTTTTAACATCAGATTTCTATGCTTCTAGACATGGTTTGACCTGCATGAATGATTCCTGTGGATATAATGTTGTTTGAGGCTGAAGTGCTTTAGTTTATTTAGTAATTTTTTTGCTTACTAAATAGTCATTTGTAACCAAATTAACATAAGTAACCAAATTAATCACATTGAATTGAATCAAATCAAAATCAGCCACTAAAACAATGCTCCAACGGATGTGCTGTGCTTTTCTTCTCTCCAGTGTGTGCCTACTGGGCAACCGCACTTTGGTGTGGAAGGGCTTTGATGTGTGTGCCAAGACCGTGGAGTCAGCTAACGGGACAGTCACCACCCAGCTGTGGCGCATCTTCTGTGATTCACCTTTCCTCAACGCTACCTGCGACAAGTACTTCACAGCCAACAATGTGTCTCAGATTCAGGGCATCCCAGGGGTCACCAGTGGAATCCTGGCAGGTTGGTTCATCTGGTCTGAATCTTCCATGTATTGTATACAAACATATATCTATACATACTGTGAGTACACAAACAAGCACATCCATGTACAGTACACACATGTCTATGTCTTTCTGTCTCTTGCCTTTTTATGTTGCTGAGTCACTGATTTACTGGTGGTGTTGGCATTCTCTCTTCAAAGGAAGAATACTTAAATTGTGTTGTTGTACAAAGGTGGTCTTAAATCAGGGTTTGGCTATGTTTACATTTACATTAACTCATTTGGCACAGGGCTTTTGTCCAGAGCGACTATGTGCTTTGCATTTCTAAGCATGTGTGCAACTTTTGCAAAAGCGATTTTTTTGTTGTACAAATAGGGAAACATAACCATTTCTCCAGTATGAGCGGGTGCAGGGGAAAGGTACAGGAGGCATTAAGAGTAAATAAGGAATAATGAAATTATTAAAGAAGGCTGTCACTGATATATTTTGTTCAGACCATACATTAGAGTAATGGATACACTGAATTTGCTACATGGAATTAGAATTTTTATGTCTCACACATATATATATATATATATATATATGAGAGAGAGAGAGAGGGAGATGCCATACAAAGAAGCTGTATTTGAAATGTTTCACTATATTACAATTTCTGTAATTTCACCAAAGTCGCAATTATGTTACATTTGAAGGACTGCAATTCTCATTTTGTTTTCGACTGGAAAGAAAACTGGTCTCTTGCTTGTCACTCTTACTCACTCCACCTATATGTGACAGACCCTTTCTTTTTTACGGGGTTTGAAAGTCTTTCCAGGAAATGTAGAAAATGATGACATTTCACTATGACAAAACAGAAGAAAGTAACAGACCCAGACTGTAACAGCATTTGCATTTGTCAGCCCTGAGCTAACTGAAATCTTAGGCAACAGAAAGCACGAGCTAACTTAACCTAGTTTCCCTCTAGTAGATATTACAGGGCTAACAGTAAGCCCTGTGTTAAGGATCCATGTTAAAAATCCATGGTTAATATACTGCCTATAAAATGTATTCACCCCCTTTAAGTTTTCATATTTTATTGTTTTACAACATTGACTCATAGTAGATTTAATGTGTTTTTTTCTTTAAAGCTTTTTAACAAAAATACCCTTTAATGTCACAGATAGTCAGAAACTTATAAAACAATTTTAGATTTTATTACTGGCTGCACCATTAATAACTTTTAAAGGGGATATGTATTTTGTAACTGCAATTAATTTAGATCACTATATAGAGATCTGTTTTCACCAACTTCTGTTGGTCAGTGTCAGGAAAAGCCACATGAAATCTTCTTTGATTCAATAACCAAAACATTTTAAAGCTGTAAGCCCTACTATAAAAGTCCATATAAAATAACTTCTGGAATTTATTTGTTTTTTATTGTAACACAAATGTAAGAGCATCAAAGTAACTAAGTAGAAATGACTGGAGAGCTGAAGTAAACCAGTTAGTGTTAAATTTAGTCAAATGCATTGTAGTCACCATTGGTGATGAAAATATATCTGACGTGATTCAGGCAGAAATCATGGACATGGTCATGGTTCATGGACAAGATTTTATTCACATTCACATTTTTTCTCACTCTCTGACACATCCCGTGTGTCCCGGAAGTTAAACCAACTAGAGGGTTGGTAATGGGCATATGACACCACTGACAGGCAACCTTTTTTTTTAGATATTTTAATACTGAAATGTTACAAATTCTACATTTACATTGTAATCTAAAAATATGTAAACTGGTTGGTAATCTGGAATGAGAACATTAATCTGGTTTTGTCTACATGAATAATTTACCAGATTCTCTCTCTACTCAATTCTTCCCTACACCCCTCTCACCCATCCAGAGAACCTGTTTGGGACCTACTATGAGAAGGGGGATCTGATTGCCAGAAAGAACATGGAGTCAAACGAAGACCAGGACGACCCTCTGACCAACGCAAACCGCTATGTGTTGGCTGACATCACCAGCTTCTTTACTTTGCTGGTTGGCATCTACTTCCCTTCTGTGACAGGTGCAAATCTTACATATATTAATATTAATTTGGGGTTGAAGAGTCGTATTGTTAGCATTCAGATGTTTCAGAACCAGATTTCTGTATGACATTCCTGCTGTCAATTACAATGCCAGACATTTGTTATGCATGTAAAGGAATTGATTGCTGTCTCGAACACACCCTGTGTTTGAATGTGTGTAAATCTCGTTGACCTTGATAACGTCTGCTTCTCAACTTCCTGCTCAGGGATCATGGCTGGCTCCAACCGCTCCGGAGACCTGCGTGATGCCCAGAAGTCAATCCCCATTGGAACCATTGCAGCCATAACCACCACCTCCACTGTCTGTATCCTCTCACTACTGCCCCCTGCAGGAAAATAGTTTTGTTTTCACACATTTAAAATAATGCAAACAGTTTTTGATTGTGCAATCCTACTTGTTGTTTATACTAGGTATCTGAAAGTGTTCTACCCTGATATTCACTGAAATTGTATTTTACGCTCATATGTCAGATTCTACTGGTCCAGTGTTGAAAGGACTTGAAGGGATGATGTACTGTGTTGCTTTGCTATGCTGTAACAAAACACGCTGATTGGCCTGCGGGGAGCACCATAATTAAAGGTCAACGTTTTAAACTGTGAAAGGCCATAACTGAAACAATAGTAGTCTGATTCTGAGGAAGGGTAATGTATTGTTCTTCTGATTGGCCCAAAGTATGCGTGTATCATTCATCAGGGATGATTTTGACTCTTTTCTTAAATCGTGGTGGCTTGGATACTGACTAACAGTGTGTGCCACAGGTTCAATATAAACTATTTTTCTTTTCACTCAAAGACTTCTTAGTCCTCCAGGATATTTTATCAAATATCAAACTCCCTCCTTCTGTTAAATTATTGAACAGATGTAAAAGATGCTGGCATTGTTTTTGCACATAGTAATGTGAAACAAAAGATTAGCTGACAAACTTTCCTCCCCCTCACATTCTTATGTTGTGTAGGATGGTGATTTTTCTTTGTGCAAAAGTTTTAAATTGAGATTTGTTTTATATCCCTAATGATCAACTGAAACCTTATTTGGCTGCTACACATGTACTTCAACATACAACGCAGATGTGAATACATTACTCTGAATCAGCCATCTTGAATGTCTTCCATGCATCTTTGAGTAATCAGCTTGGGGTCTAAACAAATTTGATTAGGAAGTCTAATCGCATCACTGGGCTTCCTATGCAATCACAAGTTAATAAAGCAGAAGGATATTAGTCAGAATGTCATTGATCTCTGAGATATTATCCTAAACAAAATCGATTGTCTCTTCTCAGCAAGTGTGGTTGATTGGTTTATCGGATCATTAAGTGCATCTTCAAAGGGAAAAGTTTATAATTGTTACAATCAAGTCCTGTCAATCACTAAACAGGTCTCGTTTAAGGAACATGCATACTGGCTAAACAAATATCCAACATTCACCAGTTTAAAAGCATGATGTCTATGAAATACCTCTACTTTCCTGATCCATAACTATGTAGACATGACCAGCGTGGTTCTGTTTGGTGCCTGCATCGATGGTGTGGTCCTCAGGGACAAGTAAGTCCATCGTTGGTTAGCCAAGCCAAACAACCCTGAAAATAACTCATTATTCATTTCATAATATGCTTGCTATTAATAATAATAAAACAGATTTCATGTGTTTTGAAATGGAAAACAACCTTTTCTCATCTCCTTAAGGTTTGGAGAAGGAGTCCACGGGAACTTGGTGATTGGCACATTGGCTTGGCCGTCGCCATGGGTGATCGTGATTGGCTCCTTCTTCTCCACCTGCGGGGCGGGGCTGCAGAGTCTGACAGGAGCTCCTCGGCTACTGCAGGCCATCGCCAAGGACAACATTGTGCCCGCGCTTCGGGTCAGTCTTATTTACATACCACTGTCCTGATGTTCCCTTCCTTTCTAATTACATGCTAACATACTGGGACAAACAGCACTCCAAGCAGACATAGTAATAATATTTTTTCTCTGTTCTCCCTGCAGATCTTTGGCCATGGGAAGGCCAACGGGGAACCCACATGGTCCCTCCTGCTGACAGCTTGCATCTGCGAGAGCGGCATCCTCATTGCTTCCCTGGATGCAGTGGCTCCCATCCTCTCCATGTGAGAACTGAAACAAACTCTCTAATTTACTGCCATTTTTTAAGAACCAGCAGTGGGAGATTTCAGAGCAGCCAGTCCCCTGCTATTTCTTAAACATTGCAAATGCCAAATTATATGGGCTCAGGATTTAGCTCATTACCCAAAAGGGAAGGCCCCTTTTCTGCTTTTGTAATACACAAATACAAGTGAATGTGACAGATATTGAGACAACATACTCCTTGGACTGCATTTATGGTGAAATCAGTCTATTATGTCACAGGACACAGGAGTTGTGTTTTAAATGGACTTTCTATGTTTGTGTGTCCTGCAGGTTTTTCCTGATGTGCTACATGTTTGTGAACTTGGCCTGTGCTCTGCAGACATTGCTCAGAACTCCAAACTGGAGACCCCGCTTCAAGTTCTACCACTGGTCAGTCCAGCATAGCCTCGGAGAGAAATAGCAGCTGAAGTTTAAAATTTTCAATAAACGTTCTCTCTTTGAAATTGTCTGCCTCTTTCTTACTGTCTGTGTCTCACTGTCCATCTTTACAGGACTCTGTCCTTCCTGGGGATGAGCTTGTGTCTCACGCTCATGTTCCTCTGTTCCTGGTACTATGCCATTGTCGCCATGGTAATTGCCGGCTCTATCTACAAGTATATCGAGTTTGCAGGGTAAGTGGAGCGCAACCCCAGGAGAGATTGGATTCACTGGCTGCCTTTAGCTTTTCCTGCTTGTGTGTGTGTGTGTGTGTGTGTGTGTTTTAATACTTTTTTTCTTAAAAATCCTCATCATCAATCATGTTTTTCGGCTTTACATGACATATAAAAAAACGTCCCCACCCTCTCTCAAAAAAATAAAGGGAACACTTAAACAACACAATGTAACTCCAAGTCAATCACACTCCTGTGAAATCAAACTGTACACTTAGGAAGCAACCGTGATTGACAATCTATTTCACATGATGTTGTGCAAATGGAATAGACAACAGGTGGAAATTATAGGCAATTAGCAAGACACCCCCAATAAAGGAGTGATTCTGCAGGTGGTGACCACAGACCACTTCTCAGTTCCTATGCTTCCTGGCTGATGTTTTGGTCACTTTTGAATGCTGACGGTGCTTTCACTCGAGCTGTGGCAAGAAGGTTTGCTGTGTCTGTCAGCATAGTGTCCAGAGCACGGAGGCGCTACCAGGGACAGGCCAGTACATCAGGAGACGTGGAGGAGGCCGTAGGAGGGCAACAATCCAGCAGCAGGACCGCTACCTCCGCCTTTGTGCAAGGAGGAGCAGGAGGAGCACTGCCAGAGCCCTGCAAAATGACCTCCAACAGGCCACAAATGTGCATGTGTCTGCTCAAACGGTCAGAAACAGACTCCATGAGGGTGGTATAAGGGCCCGACGTCCACAGGTGGGGGTTGTGCTTACAGCCCAACACCGTGCAGGACTTTTGGCATTTGCCAGAGAACACCCTGGCGCCCTGTGCTCTTCACAGATGAAAGCAGGTTCACACTGACCACATGTGACAGACGTGACAGAGTCTGGAGACGCCGTAGAGAACGTTCTGCTGCCTGCAACATCCTCCAGCATGACCGGTTTGGCGGTGGGTCAGTAATGGTGTGGGGTGGCATTTCTTTGGGGGGGCCGCACAGCCCTCCACGTGCTCGCCAGAGGTAGCCTGATTGCCATTAGGTTCCGAGATGAGATCCTCAGACGCCCTGTGAGACCATATGCTGGTGCGGTTGGCCCTGGGTTCCTCTTAATGCAACACAGTGCTAGACCTCATGTGGCTGGAGTGTGTCAGCAGTTCCTGCAAGAGGAAGGCATCAATGCTATGGACTGGCCCGCCCGTTCCCCAGACCTGAATCCAATTGAGCACATCTGGGACATCATGTCTCGCTCCATCCACCAACGCCACGTTACCACAGACTGTCCAGGAGTTGGCAGATGCTTTAGTCCAGGTCTGGGAGGAGATCCCTCAGGAGACCATCAGCCACCTCATCAGGAGCATGCCCAGGCGTTGTAGGGAGGTCATACAGGCACGTGGAGGCCACACACACTACTGAGCCTCATTTTGACTTGTTAAGGACATTACATCAAAGTTGGATCGGCCTGTAGTGTGGTTTTCCACTTTGATTTGGAGTGTGACTCCAAATCCAGACCTCCATGGGTTGATAAATTTGATTTCCATTGATAATTTTTGTGTGATTTTGTTGTCAGCACATTCAGCTATGTAAAGAAAGGAGTATTTAATGAGATTATTTCATTCATTCAGATCTAGGATGTGTTATTTTAGTGTTCCCTTTATTTTTTTGAGCAGTGTAGGAGCAAGACAAACTCTGAAGACGACTACAAACTATGTGGCTGCATAGTGGTTTTGCATCTCTTTGAGTGGAGTGATGTTTTGCATGTGAAGCAGAACTCTCAGGTGCTGCTGTTTGTTCACTACAGCTGTGTAGTTTGTAATCATTTTGTGTCTCTTCGTGGTCGTTTTGTTTCTATTAGTAGTCATTTTGTGTCAGTTTCAGTGACATTGGGAGGTGAAGCACAGCTCTGTGGTGCTGCTGTTGGTTCAAAACCTGCACCTAAACATCAGTATTTAGTTTAAGTTGAGAGACTGTCATGTTATAGGAAACCAGCAAAGAAAGCCTGAGACGAAGGTTCTGCTTTCTTTAAAGTACAGCTTTTTGTTGTTCTAATTTAAATAATTTTAATATTTTTACTGTATTTTTTTTAAATGTTACTTTAGCCTCAGTATGCTGTGCAGATGTAATATGAAGGAAAAAATCACCAAAAACATTGGCTAGATTTGGTTAACAGATAAAAGACCGATCAGTCACTTCAAACAGAGGCTCTGGCCACTGTGCCTGGGAGGCCGGCTCAGTAATCCATCCATGCTTATAATGGAGTAGTACTGAGCCATGCACACTGAGTATTTAAGTGATGTGATTCCCTGTGGTGAGTGACATCATGTTAACTTGACATTTACCAGTGATCCCTAATCCTTAATCACATTGCATTATGTCAAACTGTCATCTAAAAAGTAGACTCGTTTCAGTGTGCTGACTGTATCACTGTCACGTTTTTAAATTTAGAATGAAGCTGCAAAACTATTGTTCATGTTTTGACTGACAAATATTGATTGGCGCTTGTCTGTCACAGTGCGGAGAAAGAGTGGGGTGATGGGATACGAGGTCTGTCTCTGAGCGCTGCACGTTACGCTCTCATGCGGCTAGAGGAAGGTCCCCCACACACCAAGAATTGGAGGTATGACCGACACACAAGCACAAATTCACACATTGTGTTGGTTTAGCACGGTTCAAATTAACATAGAATTAACAACATGTCTGCACATGTTCAGCCATTCTTTCACTTAATGTGAATCCCCTCAACACAGCTGTCAAACAACAAGAAGTGACTGTGAATTCATATTAACACGTCAACCTTTCATGCTGTTTTTCTCTGCCCAACTGTAACTTTACTTGGCCCACTCTGCCATTTCTTTCTTCACGCCTTTAAAAGATTCTTTATTGCTCTCCCTTTCCTGCATTTGTGTCCCCCTACTTTTTTTTCACTTTCTCTGCCCTCTGCTCTCCCCTCTCTTCAGGCCCCAGTTGCTGGTGCTGGTTAGTACAGACGGAGAGCAAAATGTGGAGCAGCCTCGTCTGCTCTCTCTGACCAACCAGCTGAAGGCAGGCAAAGGTCTGACCATTGTTGGAACAGCTCTAGAGGGGACGTACCTGGAGAACCACGACCGGAGCCAGCGTGCAGAGCAGGTAAGGAACCTCAGCTATTAACTACAGTTAACAACTTGAGAGCCTTAGGCTAGAACTAAGCATTAAGCTAGCGTCTCTCTTGTTCTCTGCACCTTGGTAACCGTTATCCTCTGTCTTGCCTTTCTAGGCGTTGCGTAAACTGATGGAGACTGAGAAGGTGAAGGGCTTCTGCCAAGTAACTGTGTCCTCAAACCTGCGTGATGCCACCTCCCACCTCCTCCAGGCCAGTGGGCTAGGAGGCCTCAAACATAACGCTGTGCTGGTATCCTGGCCACGCAACTGGAGGCAGGGAGATGAGCACCAGACCTGGAGGAACTTCGTTGGTGGGTCACTGGGAAAGCCAATAAACCAATAATCCCATTCAAAAAGGCTGAAATCCAAAAGCTTTGGCTCTGCTTCAGGCAGATTTTGGGGTAGTTTGTTGGAGTGGTGCACTTCTCTTCAACCAAAAACTACAAGTTTCAAGCACTTTTTATTACAGCATCTGTGCTGCCGAAGCACCTCAGGAAAGACCAAATCCCTACCGGCTCCAGTTTTTGAGCAGCTCATCCTGCTATTTAACCTGTATGTTGAGGGGAAAAGTGAAAGAAAATCTCCAAATAATAAGAATACAGCATGAAAGAAAAGAATGAATAGTAACACTTTCTAAGAAGATAAAATGACTTATGCATATATTTATAACACAATATAATGCTTCCATATGACATTATAACAATTGTTATAATCACTTACAAATGCGCTATAGCAAAGTTCACAAGTCATTATGACCTTTTGATTTAATGTTTTTATAACTAGTAGTAATACCAGTTTATAACAATGTGCGCCAAGAATCTCCGACTATGTTCCATAGCACATTATAACCATCGACTCTGCCTCGTCATAAATACACTTAAGTCACAATTTAGATTTAGTGATATAAAATGGAATAATAGCTTATAGTAATGTTTAAAGTTATATAGCCTGTCTTTGTTTGCTTTAAGAAAAGTGTTAAAATATCTGTCCCTGTATAATATATTATTGTGGACATAATACCATATGAAATAATTATAAGAACTTATAAGACATTTTGCGCAGGAAAACAACTTTTATTTATGTTTCTTCACTTTATGAACAATCTGTATGAATTTTTTAACATTTTGCAGTTTAGCACAAAAACACATGCACAACATTAATTAGGATACATCAAGGAAATTCATTCTCAGGCTGGTGAGAGATCGATCAAGAGAAGACCTGTTGCCAACCATGTAACATCATGTAAGAAGAGGCTCAGATGTTGTCACAGATGAAAGGCGAGCCAACCGGAGACATCGTGGCAACCGCTGCACAAAACCTTTTAAAGAACATTTTAAAGTAATTGAATGGGAATACTGGTTGGGCAGTAAGGATGAGAATATCTTGGCACCTCACATTTGATTACAATTCAGAGGGCGGCGAAACAGAACAGGCAAGTTCAGACCATGCAGAAAAACATACTTATAATTTAATCATAGCTAATCATTGTCAAAGCTTCCCATTGAGGGTCAACCACAGCCAATTAGCTACAGCATGAAGGCCATGCAAAACAAAATCCAAAACACCTTAAAAATCTGAATAAATCAAATACTACATGATAGTTTCTGTTATGAAGACAGTTTGTAGAAGTAGTATGGCTAACAACTCCTGCTCCTCTGTGTGTGTGTGTGTGTGTGTGTGTGTGTTTTCTGCAGAGTTGGTCAGAGAAACCACAGCTGCTCACCTGGCTCTGCTTGTCCCGAAGAACATCGCAGCCTTCCCGTCGAATGGAGAGCGTTTCACTGAGGGTCACATTGATGTGTGGTGGATCGTCCATGATGGAGGCATGCTCATGCTGCTGCCCTTCCTCCTCCGCCAGCACAAGGTACTGTGCAACAGTTATTACTACAAGAAAAATACATAATAGGTAAACATTACAAGTACAGTACAGAATACACAACTAACCAAGAAAGGTCTACATTTTTACAGTCAGAATCAAAATTCTTACAGACAAAATAAACACTTGTACATCATATTCAGTCATATTTCCTATAATGTTCTTTCAAGATATTCACTGTGAAGTTTTAATACTCTTCAGAAAAAGTTTCTGTAATAGTTTTGTGGTAAATTCTGATAGTTGTAAACAGGTAGACAAGCAGATTTGCAAATCACATCATAAAATAAGATTTACTAATGATTAAAACAAAGTAGTCACAGAAGAATGGAACAATACTCTAAGGATATGTCAGAAGCGTTGTTTCTGCTGTTCAGGTTTGGAGGAAGTGCAAGATGCGCATCTTCACGGTGGCCCAGTTGGACGACAACAGCATCCAGATGAAAAAGGATCTGACCACATTCCTCTATCACCTCCGCATTGACGCCATGGTGGAAGTTGTAGAAATGGTGAGTTTTCTCAAGACTAGACTGACACAATGACACAATGAAATATAGTGTGTGTGTTAAGTTGTCTTAAGTGCTTGTCATATGGTTGAACAGAATCTGAAAAAACTACATTTTTCAACTTTCCAAAACCATTATTCACGCCCACTTGAGGCATACATGGTATGCATGAGAATGCAGGAATTTAATTTCTCTCTAAAGCTCTTTTTTATTATTCACACAAGAACTTCTGTCACTTTTCATGTATACAACCATGAATGCCTTCAGCGCCATTTGACCTAGTTTATGTTTATGTTTAAAGCATACCTCATCATTCATTCTCCGGATGAAACTCCTTCCTGTCAGGCTATATGTGTATCAGGTTGAGGCTTACTGTATTAAAGGAGTCCGCAAGGACAGGCAACATTACACATGAGTGATTTGGCACTGACTGACTACTGGTACATGAATGTGAAAAGCACAAAACAACTGGAATTCTCTCTTCTTAGCATGACAGCGACATCTCAGCCTACACTTACGAGAAGACCCTGGTAATGGAACAACGGTCGCAGATGCTTAAACAGATCAACCTGACCAAGACCGAGCGTGAGAGAGAGGTAAGAAAGTTTGTTTGTGTGAAAGTTTTGTTTGTTTTGAAATGCACTCAAAGATGCACACATACACTTGACATGACTTGACAGGCCGACTTGGCATAATTCGACTTGACTTTACTTAACATGACACATAAGCCCCTCTGGACAAAAGCATATTTATGGTTTAATCAGAGCAGTGGGACACCATATTTACCCTTTCTATCAGCGTTGACTACAGCCACAGCAGAAACAGCTTTGCTTTTGTGCATGACAGCAGGATGGTGTGAAAGATGTGAAAAATAATAGATATTGATCTCAGTGTTATACTATTATTACCTCCTACCAATTATTTGTTGAACTGATTGCTGGGTTTTCCGGGCAGTATGTTTAATTACTTCAGTGGGATTATCCTTAACCTATAATTCACTTTTTTATGAGCTGTTGCTGTGATATACAGTAAATAAATTTCATGTAAAAACACATTCCTGACCTACCTTGTTTTTCATAAATATTGAGCAAAAAAAATCTCTACTCACATCACCTGTTCCTTGCTTTGCTCTTGTTCATCTTTACAGATCCAGAGTATCACAGATTCATCCCGCGGGTCTATCCGCCGTAAGAACCCAGCCGCTGTAACCACCCAGCTGAGTGTGACCGAGGACCCGCCAGCAGCCAGCAAGGAGGAGAAGCCCGAGGAAGAGGTAGAGCACAGCTGACCTCAGTTTGAAGTGTAATGAATTGAAGTCAAGTTTATTTGAATGTTCACATGTAGGTGATTAAACACAGAACGGGCAAGAAAAGAAAAATGTGTCTGACTAAGAGATGTGATAAAACCAGGCAGCCAGTGGAGTGTTGAGATATTTTTTAGTTATAAAATTTCAAAGGAATTCACGTGATAAACAAACACTGGATTAAACTGTACAACACAACACATAGTAAAGGACCTATTTTATGGACAAATACTGTAGTTGTGTGGTGTAATAGAACTCTATAATTTAAAGGAATAGTTGATAGTGACATTTTAGGAAATAGACTTGTTAAAAGAGAAGCTAAATACCTTTCTCATGTCTGTCCGTTAAATGGGAGGATACAGGCAGCAGCCAGATAGCTTAGCTTAGCAGAAAGAATGGAAACGGGGGGGAAACCGAAAAGTCCACTTAGCAGCACCTCTAAAGTTGACTAATTAACATGTAAATTGTGGTTTTTACAGGGTTTACCTGTGGGGCTAGGTGCAGTTTCTTCCTGGATTTGTCCTGGACAGAGCTGGCAAACTGTTTTCCCTGTTTCCAGGCTCTGTGCTAAGCTAACCTGTCCTGCTGTAGTGTATATACAGGTGCATCTCATAAAATTAGAATATTGTGGAAAAGTTCGTTTATTTCCGTTATTTTATTAAAAGTGAACCTTTCATATATTCTACATTCATTACACATAAAGTGAAATATTTCTTTTTTTTTTGTTTTAATCTTGATGATCATGGCTTACAGCTCATGGAAGTCAAAAAAACATATCTCAAAATAATAGAATAAAGAATGCACAAAACAGAAACGTTGACCTCCTGAAAAGTTGAAAAGTTCTGAAAAAGGTTAATTGGTCTTGGTCGGGGCTCCGTTTGCTTGAATTACTGCATCGGTGCGGCGTGGCATGGAGGCTGTGACTCTGCTGAGGTGTTATGGAAGCCCAGGCTGCTTTCATAGCGACCTTCAGCTCTTCTGTATTGTTGGGTCTGGTGTCTCTCACTTTTACTTTTGACAGCTCATAGATTCTCTATGGGGTTCAGATCAGGTGAGTTGGCTGGCCAATTAAGCACCATAACACCATGGTCAGCAAACCAGTAACTAGTGGTTTTGGCCCTGTGGGCAGGTGCCTCCTGCTGGAAAAGGAAATCAGCATCTCAGTAAAGCTTGTCAGCAGGTGGAAGCATGAAGTGAGGCAAAATCTCCTGGTAGATGCTGCATTGACTCTGGACTTGATCAAACACAGTGGACCATCACCAGCAGATGACACGGAACTCTGGACTTCAAGCAACTTGGATTCTGTGCCTCTCCACACGTCCTCCAGACTCTGGGACCTTGATTTCAAAATGAAAAGCAAAATTTACTTTGATATGAAAAGAGGAGTTTGGACCACTGAGCAGCAGGCCCGTTATTTATTCTAATTTTAGGAGATGCACCTGTATTGACTTACAGACATGAGATTGGTATAGTTTTCTCATCTACCTCGCAGCAATACAGCGAGTAAATGTATTTGCCATCTGATATCAGTTCACAGTTTTAGATTTCTGTTGACCAACTGATTGCGTCTGCTCTAACTGCAGGTTAATTTCAAGGTAATGTAATAGAGATTTGCTTTTTTCTTGCCTCAATCACAGCCCATGTTACTACAAAAGAAACCACATAATTTGCAGACTAAACAACGTAAGGCTCCTTAATCACACTTGTCTTTCCTCCCCCTCTCTCAAACACTGTGGCTCTCTGTGACTTTACCTACATTTTCATCTCAATCGTGACTCTTCCATATAATGTACATGTAACTCCACATCCGTCCTCTATTCCTCACGTCTCATAGTCAAAGTCGGCCTCTTCCCCTGTGTCCCCCCCTTCCCAGGTCCAGCTCATCCATGACAACACCACCCCAGCAAGCCCTGCAACCCCGGCCACCCCACTGACCCCCGCAGAGGGGGCCCAGAGCCCTGGGGAGCAGGTCCAGATGACCTGGACTGAGAAGTGCGACGGTGAGCCAGCCAAGCCGCCTGGTGCAGCCACACCAGAGGGCATCAAAGACATCTTCAACATGAAGCCGTGAGTGCTTTGAATTGCTCATTGAACCTTAACCTGTTGCAAAGGTAAATTACCTTCTTGTTCCTGACAAAAACAGCCTCCAGTCTCCACAGTCTTTTTTTTTCTGAACAATATAACAGCAAAGTGGTGTGCCAGAATACTGTTGATAATAATTTATAAGGTTAGATACACTGAATTCACAACTTATACTACTAAGCATGTGTTTCTCTTCTTGCCATGCTGCAGCGAGTGGGAGAACCTGTAAGTAATGAAGTCCCTGTAAACATCATTCAGTCCATTCACATCTCATTCTGACCAAGTTGGCCACATGAGCAGATGAAGATAGAATGCTTGTGTGTGAATGAGCACCTGTCACCTCGACCAACTTAGTATCACAAAGTTCTTCGTAACATGCTTTGAAATATCACTTATCTAGGCCTTAATCAGTGTGAACCAGTTTGACCTCCTTCTCTGTTGCTCTGTCTTCACTCAGGAACCAGTTCAATGTGCGACGTATGCACACAGCGCTCCGGCTGAATGAAGTCATCATCAAAAAGTCCTCAGAAGCCAAGCTAGTCCTTCTCAACATGCCCGGGCCACCCAAGAACCGGACAGGTGACGAGAACTGTATCCTTTACCCACGCAGAAGTAGCTTTACTGAGAGGAGTTCCTCATATGTTACTGCTGCTTTCCTTTCAAGTAATAAGCTTCAAGAAATGAGGGAAGCTCAAACACATCCTTGTAAAAAGAAAAAAATAAGATTTGTGTTGCTGATATGTAGGATTCACATATAAAACTATTTGATCATGGGTGTACCATGTCACAGAATGTCAATTCTGAAATCACCTGTGGATCCTGTACCACTGATTTCAGTGGCGCTCCACAGATACAACCAAATTCCGTTTAAGCCTCTAGGCACTTTACTATTCCAGGAATAAACTTGGATTTTAAGTAGTTAGCAATAAATGGGAAGTTAATTGACTTGGTTTATGGAATAAAAATAGCACTGTGATTTGTTATCAGAAAATATGTGCAAGATGACAACGGAGGCAAACAACTAATTAGGATTTATAAGTGCCATTGCAGAAGATGGACCTTTTTAAATAACATGTGCAGGTAATATTTTTGATTTATTCTTTTTACTCATTTGGTAAACAATGTAATGTGAAAGGTGTTACTTGTAGTGATCAACCCACAGAGAATTATAAGAAGACTCCGCAATTCCCCTCAGCTCTATGGACCGTTTAGCCTCTTTTAGCGAGGAGAGTGAATATTGGTTGGCCCAAAACATGTCTCCAATGGTCAAATATTTTTAAACATAATTAATACATAATAACATATGTAATAACATATGTAACTAATAACTTTATAAGGCAATAATATGTTAATGATGTTTTATAGCTTGTTCCACTGCCCCCTAGTGGCAAAATAAATCCATAAATGCAGCTTTAAATTAAAAGAAAGAAAACAAACAAATACTACTATTACCACAGGAGAAGAAAACCAGACGAGACAGAAAAAGCCCATCTAATCAGAGAAGGATTAAGAGGTTAAACACTGTACAATTGTAAAACCTGAAACATGGACTAGATTAAAGAGAGCTATTCTTGTATACTGCAGTTATCCAACTAACTTAAAGGGGACCTATTAATGCAGCTCATTCATCTCTATATTTTTATTCTGGGATTCCACTAGAGCAATTTTGCATGATTAACAGTTAAAAAAACTTTATTTATCTTATACTGGCCCTTTATGCAGCCTATCAGTTCATTCTCCATGTGAAACATGCTGTTTTAGCAGTACCCTCTCCCTAAAAACCCACTTTCTTCTTTCTTCCAATTTCCCGGAAGCCTGCTCAGGGCCTGGTGAGCACTGTAAGTTCTCTTTATACACCCAGTGCTGTGAGCCCGCACCACCTCATCCTTAGCATATGACAGCTTTAACTTTTGATGAATTTACTGTTTATCAGACAGCAAATGAGACCAGAATTAGGCTGGAAAAACAGTAGATGACGCTGGAGTGGAGTGTTCCTGGGGGCCGGTGTAGGTACGAGATGTGCTTGGCCTGGAAAATCACCCCGGGGCTTCACTGGTTACTGTACAAAAACAACTTTGATAACTTTATAAAAAAATACTCAAACCGATAAATCGATTATCAGAATAGTTGGCGACTAATTTCAAAGTTGACAGTACTTGCAGTAGTTTCTTCAACTCTTCTCTCCCAGACATGGAGTTCCTCGAGGTCCTCACTGATGGTCTCAACCGGGTCCTCCTGGTCCGCGGAGGCGGCCGTGAGGTTATCACTATCTACTCCTGAAAGAGTAACCCCCTACAACCCCACCCCTCCCTCAACCCTGTTCCTGTATCACCTGTACTCCCACCCTCTCATCAACGCTGCTTCATCATCATGTCACCCTTGTCGTTTATTTCTGTAAGATAGTCCTCTCACACCAGACCAATAGCCCAGCTCAGCTTCAGCACCTCTCCCTCAGCTCCACCCCCAGCTGCAACGATGCTCGGCTACCAAACCCTTCATTATAGTCCAATAAGCTACTATAACTATTGTAGGTTCTAGACTAATTTAGATGCTACCTAGATTTGTTCTTCAAGAGACCTTTTTTTTCTTTTCTAGTCTTTTAATCTGCTGTAGTAACTCGCATTGAGTTGGAGTCACTTGGTGAGGAGGAGGAGGAGGTGGTGGTGGGTTGTTAGCTGAGGTGTGAGCGCACATGCATGTATGTGTCTCTGCAGTCTATTTATTTATTTTGTTTTTTGTTTTTTCAAATACAAATGTGACATAGCAGCGGCTTCTGCTCGGAAAGAACAAGAGGCAGCTGAAATGATCTCAGTGTACAATTGTCTGTTTAGTTCCCTCGCGGTGATCGGACACCTCCCACAGCGTTCCAGCCTGTTGTCTTTGATGTGATTTATCTTTCAAGGCAAAAGACACTGCTACCTACGGTCAGGACCCCCAGCTGGAAGGAGGAGAATAGTGTTGTTAAGTATGAACTGTGAAATTCACATTGATATTCGAAGAAGACTGAAAAAAGCACGTGGATCAAATCTGCAGTATTATCTTTAACCTGATCACTCCTTAGCATGCCATCCTTATAACTGTTTTTACTTACTGTTACTACCATCGCTGTCTCTCTACCCATCCTCATTCAACTCATTTCTTAGTGGCTGTTTATCCCTGTGGCCACTGTCAGTGCCAAAAAAATTAAATACAACAAGGCTAGCTTAGTTTGTAGAGATTGACACGTAATTAAACTGTGAATAGTGCGTTTCCTAGCAGAAGGCTGGTGTGACAGCAGAATGGGGAGACAGTACAACGCCGCCTCACCCCACCCCGAGGAGATTATCATTGCCAGCACCCCTCGACCCTCGTGTGGATCACTGTAAATAATGTACAAGCTCTGACGCGTTGTTCAGTATGAGTGTAGTATTTTTGTGACATACTAAAAAGCTTCTAGTGGAGAGAAAACGATCCTTCGCTGAGAGGGACAGCTCAAAAAAGCTGTTTTTAAAAAATGTATTTATTTATTTATTGGATGGCATAGGCTCCTGTCACTATGGTAAATAACTGTCATTGTAACCTCGACAAGCACTGCACCTGCACTGTCCGCCACTGTGCAACACGTAACAATTTGATGAATTCATTAGGTTCATCAAATAAAAAATACTAAATGTTATTTTTTCATCTAGAGAACAAATATGTATTTATGTTTATAGACAGAAGTTACACATATTGATAAAATAGTTGTATGTCATTTTGATTGTCACTCAAAGATATATTGTTGTTTTGCCTAAGTTAGATACATTAAATGTGCCATATAAAAGTATTTTTCAAAAAGAAATAGTGAACAAAAATTCTATTGCTTAAATCAGAGTGAACAAAGCGTGCTATATAAAAAAGAATAATAAATGAGGTGTCTACATGAAACTGTAGTTGGAAAGTTACCCTATAGATGATAAGAGAACAGATGTTCAGACCTCCATAAAAACTACAAACGCTCAGACATGACATGAGCATATCAGCCCTTACTGAGGTGAGGTTTTGAACATCTATCAGCTGATTGTTTGTAGGGTCTAGTCTAAATATATAGAGGACAATGGCTTCTGTAGCTGGGAAACTCATGTTGTCCACAAGACTGAACTCTATGCAGTAGACGCTCCAGTGAGACTTTATATCCTCTAGATTGGTTAAGATTTGAGCCACACGTCCCTGACTGAATGACTTATGAGCAAATCATATTTAGGTTCAAAAAGTGCATCTTGGAAGGAATGTGCAATAGTTGAAATCTGGACTCATGTGATCATGTTATTTATTTTTTTACACATATATTTTGTATATGTAGATTTCGTAAGTCTTTAAAAAACAAAAAACAAATATCAGAATCATCTCACTCTGACCAAGGACAGCTGTCACTTTACTTTGATTTGGTTTCTTTTCTTGAAGAAACTGTTTTTGGTCATTTGCACTTGTAGTAGAAATATGAATATAAATAAATACGTATATATATATACAGTATTTACAATATAGGGAAGCAAAACAAATTAGTTTCTATTACTATTTAAAACAGTATTAAGTGTTTTTAGTGTTGCTTGAATGTCTGATCATATGTTGTGAATGCTGCTAGTATCAATAGATGTATTTGTACTGTAAATAGAAATGACTAAAGCAACAGCTCAAATGGAAAAGGGTATAGACATACATATCAGTAGTGGTGGTTGTCAAACAAGACAAGGCTGTACCTGTGAACATTTGGCCTGTGATCTCTGAACAGGGTTCAGCTTTCTTTTTTATTAAAAAACTATACTGAATACCTTGATGCAATATTCCAACTGAGGGAAAATCCGCCACCCTTTTTTTTTTTTTTTTTAAAGAAATGCTCTCTTGATTGTTACCATATTTAATGTCATGAGTAAAGTGAACCAATTTTAAGGTATAGATATTATTAATTTACATAGTTAACAAAATATGTTTAAATATGAACATTTCTGGATTATCTACTAAATGTCACTGTTTGCAAATTTTTAAACACACCTACCTTTGACGCCTGTGATACTTAAGAAGCAGCCACTCCTAGTTTTCAAAGATTTTAGGGTGCCAAGTCATGAAGATTTTCTTTAACATGATTGTCACACTTAACTCTGACAAAAGGGGTTGTTTAACGCTCACATCAGTTTTTGAAGAACATGGCTATTTTGGGATTGTCTCCACAACATCGCCTGCATCAACTGAGCCTTTAAAATTGATTCAAAAGAGAAGATATCTGATGTTTATTGGAGAAGTTTATTGGAAATTAATTTATTTATTGAATTATAAATGTTTTATAATTGCTGTTTGCATGGTACTATGTGGCAATATTTGTTTTAGTGGTTTCTATAGTGACGATTTACAGGTTCAAGGTGCAGAGTTGGGGTAAAGTGTTGTCAAATGTTCTCACTGAGTTACAGATTTTCAGAATAGACCTTGAAAACAAGTCTTTTGCAAAAAATAAGAAAACGTATGAGTTCACTATATTGTTACTTGTTATATTTCAATCTTGCTCAAGTAGTCTTATGTAACGTAATAGGAGGATTTTGAGTTTGCGAATGAATGGGCCTTAGAAATGGTCTTTTCACCTTTTGTAAATATATATCACTTAAGTCAGAGACACTGTAACCTACTAGTGTTGTCTTTTGTTGTACACTGTTCTATCACTGTGGACAAAGTCTTAGAGTTTTGTAAGATTATGTGCAATATTGTTCTCACATTGGTCATTTTTCATTTTGTTACAATTGTGTTTTTTCTTTTCTACAAAACAACTGGAGGTGTCACTTAATTCATCAGAATGTTTGTCACCAGGTCTTACAGACAATACAGATCTACAGTGTTCATCCCAAATGTGGCTGTGACAGCAAAGCACTTTACACTGAGGGGGTACTCTGTGACAGGATCAGTTTTCTGGAGTGGAGGGTGTGATTGAAAGAGAGCCACCTGCTCTGTATACTCTATCCCACAGTGATCTCTAGTGGCACATCAGTGTATTACAGCCAGCTGTGTGTGTGGGGGGGGGGGTCTGACAGCTCAGACCAGAAAATATGATTAACTCCCATCAGCTTGCAGCAGTTTCAAACTGCAATACTCCAGAGACCAACCTGCTGATTTTGTTGATTTTGATATTGTCATTTGAGCATTTTTCTTGGACATTTTAGCATGCATCACATTCTTTCCTTTCTCTTGGCAAACTTCTTGAAAAGAATAATATTAACTGTTAAATTTATAATGCTTGTCACTCAATCTGTGAGGTGAGCCTTCCCTGAATCCCTCCTCCACCCCCAAAGCCCTGGCCTCCCCCATCCCAGCTACTAAATCCACCCCAGCTCTGTATTTTAAATGTGATTGCAGTATAATTCTCAAAAATGATCAAATATAAAACTCGCGCTTCCAAATCTGGCACCGGCTCTGCTTGGACCACACAAGGTAGTCGACTCAGAAACCAGCACGTCCCTTCTCCCCCAAACTGATCCATGATTTAGATCAGATCCTTCGCCTGCACAACTGTAGCATGAGACAAACTTGCTGGTGATCATTACTCAGTCTCCATCCTTAAATGGATATTAAGGGCTCTGAAACACATCTGTTACCGGGTTAAGGAGGCTGTCCTGTTAAGACACCAACAGAGAAAATACAAAACACATCCCAGATTATTGCAGAGGGAGCACACAGTCTGTAGCTGAGATAAAATAGTACCTTTCAGTGTATTTTGGATGGTAAGACAGCTGCACTTACACTTCAGTCGATCTCTCTGGGAGTCAGATGAGAAGAACTCAAGTGGCTATCCATGCAGTGCAAGCAGAGCCCCGTTCCAGTTATGTTGTGTAACTAAGTGCATGCATGCAATTACCCTGAACAAGGTGTATTGAAAATATATTGGGTGTTTGTGGCATAAAAGTACTTTGTTTAAATCAGTTATAAACTTTTCTTTCTAGTCGTATGATTTCTCTTTCCTTAGGACTGGCCAATCATTGTATCCAAGGTGAATATTATTATAGTACAAGATTCTATTTTTTATGGTGGATTTGTTGACAACAAATCAAATATGAGATAAAATGAGTACCAAAGTATATTTCAATTAACTACATATTTGGTAGTGTGCAAATGTTTGCTCCAGTGAATTAGACGCAGAAAGTTTACAAAACAATGTGTAGCAATTATTTAAGTTAACTGATCAAATATTTATATTGTTTCAACAGGGTAAAACTAAATACAATGGGAGTGCCAAAGTACATGGTGGAAGCTGCATGAAAAGGTCTCTGCCTGTCCAAAACTGTAACGTTAGATGTATTATTTTTCAATCAATAGCTGTGGTTCTATTCAGTCAGTGTATTAAGTAAAGAGATTACCAATGACCAAAACAGGTATTTTATTGTTGAAATTCAGACAACCAAAACAATCTACATTTTTGGTGAAATTTCTGGCCAAAAGTTAGCACAAAGACTGGCGGGGGGGGGGGGGGGGGTAGCCTGGCTCTGCCTCTTAAGACACATATTTATTTGGGTTAATCCGTAAAAACACTGAAGTGTAAAAATAACAAAGGGCCATGCCAAGCAACAAGCGGAGACTCCAGGAAGTTCCTCCTTTTACCTTTGGACAGAGCCAGGCCTGCAGTTTTGACCTGTCCAGTCATTGTGCTAAGCATTAGCTTCATATTCATAAATGACTGGAATGATCTTCTTACATACCTCATGGAAATAAGCTATTTTCCAAAATGTCTTATCCTTTCAACACTTTATGGCCCTTGAAAAAACAGTATTTTATTTAACCAGTACCTCCCCTCTAGAGGAATGTCCACGTTTGTTTTTAATTCACTGGAGTTGTGGGGAAAATTTTTGTATGGATGCTTGAAAACTTTAATGGATGTATCGTATATATATATATATATATATATACACACACACAAAGACACACCTGTATCAAATTTTAGTAATATGAAATTGTGTTCCCCCCCCCCCTATTCAGAACTGTTCATTACTCTTCCTTGATACTGTACCTAGTCTTATGGTAAAGCCGTAGTGTGTTCCTTTCAGTTCTGTGGGAGTGTGTGTGTGTACATGTGCACTTGTAACTGCTGGGGGCGGGGTGGGAGGGGGCTACGTGTAAATAAATCAAATACAGTTAGTGTGGAGGTGTTTCTTTTGTGTCAGTGTAAGTTAAATATTCTAAAGTAAAAAAAAACAAACATGTATTCTCTATTGTGTTTCATGGTACATTAAAAAGAGGAAAAAGTAGTTTTATCTTACATTTCAAATGCTTATATCTATAGCTTCTGGCGATACCCGTTCCATTTTATAGATTTGTCAGCACAAAATGCAATAAACCAATACCATTTTATTACAGCAATTGTGTCTTGAATTTTTAAATCATGTCTTGTTTTGACAATGAAAATGTTACAAATTAAAAAGACACTTTGGAAAACTATAAAAACACAACAGATCATGGTTGGAAAAATAACTAAGGAGTCCATCATAACCAAATTACACTGTACTTGACACACCTCACAGTTTAAATCACATGCAAGAAGAATGATTTATTATCTTCTGGCTAATAATTGAAAATACAGAACATTAGGAAATCCGGACAAGTTGTCAAATTTAACAAACTGAGCACAATACCCAGAAAAAAAATAAAAACTTAAGATTTTACAAAACACCCCTACAGTCTACCTATACACAGCTGGTAAATTCACCGCACAGAGTGTGTGTCAGAGGCAGAGGTGGACCTCACATTAGGAGAATAATTAATTCACTACAATCCATCAGTAATGTCGGGGATACATGGACATAGGCGGGGCCTGGCCCATGCTGGGTGCCTGCCTGGGTGGTGGCTGCTGAGAGGCGCCAGTTCCCACCAGGTGGTTGAGAGATGGTCCGCTCTGAATGAGGGTGTCCAGAGCTTTCTGTACACTTGGGTTGTCAAAATTGATACCTGAAGCAGAGCCGGGAGGTCTTTGACCGCCTGGTGCAAGTGGCATGCGGCCAGGAGGTGGTGGGGCACCATAACCCTGGGATCCAGATGGAGGAAGGCCAGGCATGGTTGGGCGGGGTGGGTTCTGGGAAGGGGGGCCGTAGGACTGCGACTGAGAGGTGACAGGCAGGCCTCCAGTGCCTGTTGACGCCCCTGTGCCACTGTTGAACAGGCTGAGGATTTTAGCCTGCAGCTCCTGCTGATGATTGGGGTTAGCCGAGACGCTTGAACCCGCTGACAGGCCGAGGTGGCTGGACTGTGGGGGTGTGTGAGTAGAATGGGATGGAGCAGGCAGTCCTGCAGCTGTGGGCGGAACATCATGGTGGGCTGCTGCAGGAACCGCAGAATGGACTGCAGCTGTAGGGTGATAGGTTCAGTTAGAATGAGCTGCTCTGCAAACACCTATGCTGCATTCAACAGGAACAAATTTCAGAAATAATTCAATTACCGTAGAAGAATATTTAAGGATTGGTTCGCATTTTTTAAGTCTGTTAGAATAATATTTACATGCCCGGTATACTGAAAGTTTTGGTTGCTATAATTGTTCTTCCTCGCCATAATGACTTGCGAAAGAAAAATATTTTTCACACAAAACCAAGATAAGAGATTTGGGACAAAATCCACACAGTCTTTATTCTCGATAAAAATGCCATGTGAAATTGAGTTGAAGTTAATTTCACTAACTCGGACTGCGGAATATATTCTCATATTAAGTAGGTATATTCCAATTTCAAAAGTCCCCTAGTTTCCACAGTGTTCCCCTGATGAGTGGTAATAGGGTAGGGGGTGACACAAAGGGGACATTTCAAACTAAGAAGACTGACTTGGAAAAATTGATCTGTCCAATTCAGACCGATGAAGCCTTATATTAACTTCGGCTCAAGTGTGAAATGCGTTTTTGCACAGAATAACAATTTTTTCGTTATAGGAAGGGATTTCTTCAGGGATAAATTACAACTACCACTTACTCTTTCAATGTAAACATGGGCAGGTGTATCGTTTTAAGAACAGACTTGAGAAAATGGGAACTTATACTTTAATAGCACACTTTTGTCTCTTACCTGCAAGAGGGTCTGCAGCGCTTCGTAGCAGTCGGGCTCTTTTGTCCTTCAGGTACGCAAGAAGTGCATCCAGTTCCTCTGGGGTTACAAATCTACCCGCCAATGACACAGAAATGAATAAGAAAATTAATTATTCCAAGGGTGGAGACATTACAACATGCAAACTGTGATTGAGGTATCACAGAAACAAATTACATTTTACATTCTCCACAGCTCCAATTAATTATTAATTCAAGATGTTACATACTTTTAGACAAGTCCAAAGATATTAAACCACATACCTGTTTTCAGACAACAGCGTGATGGCAGTGAGCACAGAAATAGGGTGGCTCTCTCTGTCAGGCTCCCTGAGTAACACATCGTCCGCCATCTTGGCAGCCTTTCTGGCAATCTCCTCACGTTCTTTTTCACGGTTTTCAACTTTGTAGGCGTCATAGTTGTGGGCAACCAGCATCATGGCATCCTGCATTGGCATGTTTCGATGCTCTATGGCAATAAGGACACAATAAATGTTAGCATGTAAAACAAAAAAAATACACCATTTAAATGCTGTGGTCTTTACTTTGGTATTTCCGACAAACAGGTGCAAATTGTCCTCTAGCATTACCTTGCGGTGTCCCGAACAAGATGTTGACAGTGCAGGACCGGTGGACCTGGTGCTGCTGGGTAATGATGATGGCAAAGGGAGTGCGGGCTCGGCCTACATCCTCCAGTGCCTGGGTTAGTGACACTTCTGTGTTGAGGAAGATCAGATCCACCACCATGCCCAGATCACGGACTTTCCGCCCGACTGTCTCAGCATACTCCCTACAGTTGTTTTTCAAGCACAAGTACAAACAGACAGACAGACAGACACACACGCGCAATATGAAATGAAAACATCCCAGATATTTAATGAGACGTTTCTGGTCTAAAATATTCATTTTCTGTAAAGAACAGAAAGCGGACATACTTTTGTGCCTTGTTGACAACAATCACAGAGCAGTCAACAGGACGGTCAGTGTCGTAGCGCCGCTGGAGTTCTTCATAGTACTGTCTATACAATTCATTACGCCGACGCTCCTCTGGTCGAGCACGATCATCTACAGCTGAGGGATTCAAGGGGACTGGAAAGTTTAATGTTAGTATAATTTTCTGCATTTGAAATTGACTTTTAAAAACTACCTGTTTTACTCTGACATTACATACCGCAGATGTGCAAAACATTTACAATAAAATGGACGATTAGAACACAAACTTCACGAGCTTACATCTTTTTAAACTCTAAAATATGCAGTTTAAATAATATGGTTAAGCTGGAAAATAGTCTGGTTGCCATCTGCGGTGTCTAGTGATGGTGCTGTGTCCCCACATCTGGACAACAAGGGGTAAACTACTGAAGAAAATGTTACAAGCAGTAAAAAGGATAATTTGTGGAATAGGAATTTGGTACTCAAGAAAATCTAATCTATCCAAGAATAAAATACATTTTACAATTGGACACAATATGGTAATATTAAGGTGGTTAAGTACAGAGTATACATACCCTCTGGCTCACGGCGTCCGTTCCAGGGATCTCTGTATGGGTCCCTGTAGGGTTCATCCTTCCTTCGGTAATATTCTTCAGCAGCACTACCACTGCGGTAGTATCGGTCATAATCATCTCTGCTGTATGGAAACATTACAAGTTCAGACAAAAATAGAACCAGTTAAATCTGGACTTCCAAATAATGGGCTGAGGGTCCAGTAGGCACCTGTATGCAGGTTCCCGCGGGTCCTTGTCTCTGCTCTCTGAGCTACGGTACCGGTAATCATGGTCACGAGAGTGGCCAGCCGGTCTAGGCTCTCTACCCGAGTCCCTCCCATCACGGCTGTCCCGGGGCTCACGTCCATCACGGGCGTCCCTAGGCTCACGACCTTCACGCCCATAAGCAGGTGAACGTGACCGAGGCCGCAGGTCTTTGCTGTCCCCGTAGCTGCTATACGGGGCCCTGAGAAAAAAAATTATCCATTAGTGCACAGAAGGTTAGAGTTTAGGATGCCTATGAAATACTACAAAGAGGTAATAGGAACATCTGTCCATGACTGATGAGGACAGGCTGACAGTAGGTATTGTAAATTTAATCAAATCTATTCAGTTTGAAAAGATGGACAATTTGTTTATTTGCACAACCGAAGCAGAGCAACCGAAAGCAGCTTTTGTGTTCGCAAAGGGAACTAACACAAATTCAATCCAGGAGGTGATTCCGATGAGCATCCATTCAACGACTATCTTTTGAAAATGTCCAGTGATCCGTGTACGCAACAATGTCGATTCATCAACGATTTTGAGGTTCACCGACGCTAAATCCATCTCTAAAAGACAAGTACCTTTTTGAATTAGCAGTTTGTGGTGTATTTTGCTCAATTTGCGCAGGATGATGTGTTTTGTTCTTCAATAAGCCACATTCCCATGCTGCAAATATGACGTCAGAAAAATGAAGGAAAAAAAAAAAAAAAAAAAAAAAAGCGTTAGCCCGAATTTCTCACCAAAAAAAAAAAAAAAGAAAAGAGTTTTTAATCTCACCTTTGAGAATTTATTACATTTCAAAGAGGAAAATATTCTGAATTGCATAGAAAATTCAAATATTTCTACAAAGGTTTCCAAAAATTGAGATGTATGACGTTTCTACACAAACCGTAGAAATGGAAAACTGGCAACTTCCATGATGAGGTTCCTAAAACGTGAACGACCAAGGTATATCCAAGTGGCGGCTGCGCGCCGTTCCGAGTTTTTTTCCCCTCCTTCCCATGTTAATAAAAGGTGGATGGGTGATTACGGGCCATTTTTTACTAAAAAGGAGGCACTCCCACAGTTCTTTGCTCTAGCAGAAAAAGTTGCATTAGTTGCAACAGTTTTACTTCCGTGTTTCGGTTCTCTTGGAAGTGTCTTTTTCTAAATCCTTATGATTTGTCTTTCCTTGATCTCAAAATCATTTTTATTGCAGTCAGAGGTGGTGGTTAGAAAAAGACTACTTGGATTGAGCAAATATCTTATAACATGTATTTGCTTCTTGTCTCAATATTAAACTTGAATTTCCAAAGTGCTTGACTTAAAGGTGAGGCACAAAAATATTGGAGAAAATAAGTTTCTTATTATTATTTTAATTTCTTTTACCGCAAACTGAGACTATTTAATATCAAATTTACAATATGCACGTTATATTCCTGCTGTGTCAGTATTATGTGCACATTTGTGGGTGATATGTGGCACAATCCTGGTGATTTTACGTTATTCCACTGATCGTTGCTGGTGGTATAATCAAGAAATGCAGCAATGCGCCGACAAAGGCAGGGAAGAAGACGGCTGGTAGCTAGTAAACATGGAGGCTAACACCGTTGCTTTGAAATGCTTCCAAAACATTGGGTCAGAATTAGCATTGGAAAATCGCCTTTGAGGAAGGAAATTCAATCAACAGTTATTAGGCCTCAAGGACACACACAATGTGTTTTATTGGGAAACTTAACGTAAAAATACCTTTTTTCACAAATAAAATTTCAGTGCACCTTTAAATTTATTTTCAATGTAGCTTGCCTACATTAACATGTGTTTGGCTTTAGGGAGCCATTTCTCAGACTAAATGCAGTTTAACTGCACACAACTAATTAGTTAAAGGCCATGTTGTAGGACATGAACCTGCTAATAGACATTGGGGGGGGGGATTAGCATTACGTTTCCCTCAGACAGAAAGTTGCATTTTCCTAGCTGAAGATAAAATGTGGGACAAAATCGTGTTCTTTGCATGATTTTGTCCCACATTTTATCTTGTGTTGAAAGCCATAAGGCAAGAATCTTTGAGACAAAGACACTAAATTACATTCACATGGCTCTTTCATTTATTTCAATTATCTTGACATTTTAATTTAGGGTGAAATATCGACTGTCCCATGAACCACCACAAAACCATCTAATGGTACAGCAGCTTCCATCAAGCCGACTCACCAATGGTGTAAATGACAGCTGATGAAAAGTTATACGCTTTAGATCTTTTTTTGTTTTACCGGCACCTCAGAGGCATTGGTAGTTCTTCACACCCATTTCGCGTTACTTTACCTTCGTGAAGGGCTCTGCTGGGATTGAGGTTTAGCTTGCCGTCGCTCCACTGCCATATTTACATCTGAAAATAAATCAATCCAAACGTTGAACATAACAGTAACATGTAAATCAGCTTTTGTGTTCACGCAGAATCGAGAGGCCGCGTCAACACTTCCACGATCCAAATGACACTGTGGTCCAGTATCCAAGCTTGAATATCCAAATTGGGCGAGAGCCAAAAATGCAGCAAATCGAGAAATGAAGGAATTCTTTTTTCCCCCGTTCGTAACTGGCTAAACACTAGCAAAGCTTGAATGTGTAAATTAGATTATAAAACTTGAAATTTGGCCTTCAGAAACTCCCAAAACCAGAAGTGCTTCCATTTTAGTGACATTTAAATCCTCGTTGAAGAAAATTCCAAGACAGTGTTGCAAATAAAACAAGAGATTCAGGCTTTGCCAGAATTTAATAATGCACTTATTTATTTGCTTCGTAAGCCAATAACGTAACATATCTACAAAAAGGAAGGTTTAAGTTGAAAAATAAGCACAGCTTATCTTCATTTTGATGAGTTGTAGGTCAAATCATACAACCTGCACAGTGTGAGGTTAGCTGTGGGCAAGCAAAGGGCTCCACGTAATTGTTCTTAACCACATGAATGAAGGACATATCTAGTTTTCATACACAACCTTCATCCACAAGAGTTAATCCTTAAAACAAAAACAACTGTTTATATTCAGGTTTAACGCTTAAACCATCATGCCAAATCATCAAAATATTTTCACACATAAAAACAAAACAAAAAAAGTAACCTTAATCTTTTATTAACTTAACACCGAAACCTATCCTCTTTAGCCAGACAATCACACCTACTGCAGTTGAGGCTTACCTATTTTATAACCTTTATATATTCGACCCTGTTGGGCCGCCTTTGCAGCTTCGGCTTCCTCAACGCGTTCAAATTGTACAAATCCAAACCCACGAAACATGGATACGCCTGGAAGAGGAACATTTTAAGTGGTACAAACTTAGGATCATTTTTGAAGAACATTTTTCATACCTACCCATTTACCCACTTTAAAAAATGATCAGTAGCGACATCATTACGAATATTACATGCCTTCATTTCATGAAAAAGACTATGTAAACGCTATTTGAAAATTGCTTTTGTGACATTCAGGGACAGTCTGCTCGATTCAAATCATTGTCATGAATTAAAATTGACAACTTATTGCGTATATTATGTTTACTGACCGACTATCTTCCCATATGGGCTGAACAGGTCTTCCATATCCTTCTTTTCCATGTCGGATGTCGGCAAATTCCCAACAAAAATCCGTCTCTCCAAATCTCTAGGATCATTGCTGCTGCAGGAGCGTGAATAACGCCCTGGTGATGCGCTGCGGCTTCTTCGGCGAGACATGACACGATCCCAAGGTTTACTGGTTTCTTTCTTCGTGTGGCTCAAATGCTTGAAAAAAAATGGTTGGATTGTTTGCTAATAAGCTTCTAAAAATTGTCGTCCACGATCCTGAAACGTCAGTGAGTTAAGAGAACAGATCAAATTCCTTGGAAGGATAAATTGTTTTAGTAGAGCAAAAGTTGCAGATCAAAATCACATCAAAAGTTCAGACAGTGGAAATGCTGTGGCAAATTAATTCTGAAATGTAGCAAATGTTGACATTTGAAATGAGTAGTGCTGATTCAAACGCAAATTCTTCCGAAACCTTGTGTTAAAACACAAGCAGGACAGCAGGATATTACTTGATTTAACTCTCCACTTTTACACATGCCTTGCCTTGAATTATGGCACACGGGACAGCAGGGTATGATTAATGCCGAGTATATTAAACACAAATGAAAATCCGCCACGCAAATTTGATGATGTGATGGACTTCCGTCTGATTTTCCGTGTGCAGCAACGTGAAAGCCTTGCGAACTCTGCCCACAATTTTGCTTCACTCATTGTGGTTTGGCAAGGCTCTTGTGCTTGACAGATGTAATTTCATGTAGTACCGCAGATGAACCGTTCTTACGCCTGATCGGACAAATGTGCACTTGCTGGACTTTCATCCGCCTTTGCTTTCTTTTTTCTAGCACGGTGGCTGCTCTGGAAATTTCTCCTCAGCTGTCACACAAAAATCTGTTTATGATAACATCTTGTTTGAAGTAGTTGATCACTGGGTTCAGAGGTTTCAACACGCAGCAAATTGTTTATAATCTAAAAACAATGACCATTTCCACGTGCATCTGTTCGGGTTAAATTAATTTACCAGAATGAAATTGAGAGAGAACCAAGCATTGAAAAATGCAGTCTGGATTTATAAAGCTACAGACATTTTGTTGTAAAAAAAATAAATAAAGCCAACACAATCCTGAAGTGATTTTCATTAAGAGAACTTTGTCCCCAGTGTAGGTTGTACACCCAGTATTAAAAAGGCACACCTGTGGAGACCTGTGTGATTTAATCTGGCTGCACCATTTGCTTCAGTATTGAATAGATTAACTATGACATTACATAAAATGACTCTTTGCCTGTTAACCACTGAGCATATGCTTCAATTAATTCCTAAAATAAATGCAAAATGTCTATGCTAGGAAATGGTGAGTGAGTTGCTTCTTTGTAAAGAAATGGCTCCCACCGAAACTGGCTTTAAGTTGAGCGGTATGCACTGCGAAGCCGCAAACATTTCACGCAGAACAAAATCGCAATACTGCTGTTGTTTTGAGAAACTGTAGCAAGCGGCACAAATACCCATAGAGATACACACAGCGTCTACTGTGCAGCGCGATAAATGGTTATGAAATTCTCCCTCCACAACTTTGAAATGGACCTTTGGCAATAAATACAATCCCAGAGTCAGATATTCAAAAAAGGTCCACGATATAAGCTTAGTGTCACACCCAAACTTTGTTTCTCTGTAAAAATGTTGATCAAAGTGGAGCTACTAAATTTGTTGTTATTGTTAACTCTCAAACTGTGTTTTCTACAAATCAAAACGGAGCTTCTGTTCAAATGATCCTCTTCTCTTGAAATGGTAAAAAACATCTTGAGGAAAATCGCACCAATGAAATGAAATCACGGGCTTCTGGTCGCCTCCTAAATGCAATTGCTTTCTTTTGTTCAAAGAAAAAAACAACCTTCTTAAGAATCATCATGATAAACTGACGTTTTATGCGGCCTAGGTGGCACAATTTCAAGATATTTCAGAGAGAAAGAGAATCTCTTGAGATTCTCAGTTCCTACGTGTTAAAAACTGACATTAGAAAGTAAAGGCATTTGTTTTTGTTATACTACATTTAAAGTAGGAGATAATTTACATTATGCTTTTTGGGAAGCAGCCCCTTACATACCTTAACTTGAACCTGGATGCCCTGGATTCTGTGTCCACAAATTCAAAAACAAGACGCGTCTGAAAGGGGAGAAGAAAAACAAAAATCAATAACCACTTTAAACAGTTTAAATAATATATCCCTTCAAATGCTCCAAGATGTCTACAGTAACAGCTTCGCACTACACTGATTACTTTCGCCCAAAACATACACTAATAAGTGTGAGGTATGTTCATTATTTACATCTCTAAACTAAGCTCTGCCAAATAATACCTCACTCTTAAATTTCTTTAACACCACACTGGATCAAATGATGTACCCAGTACATATTTTTGTCTTGAAACAATCTAGGTAAACTTTTCATTGTTGACATAAAGCACCGCAATGTAGACTGCAATAACAATGTCGCATCCGTTACCATAATAAATTAAAGTACTCTGCTACCCAGAATACAATGCGCCATCACATGGATGCCTGGTCTCGTATTAAGGAAATACTACTTCTGCTAATGATTAAATGCTCATAAACTACACATCTGATCATTTATCGTCATCGTTGATTCAGACAAACAAGATTATGTCGTTTTAAAAAGTAGTTTGCCTTAGAAAAATTTACAATGTCTGATTGGTTTTTTGCTCTAGCTGTGCGCGCTCCCGCGAAGGGTAGGCAAAGCTCGGGCCCGGTCGCGCTGCAATGGTGTACCACACGTTACAGCACCGGCTTTTGAGAACAGATAATATAATGGAAATGGGTTGTTTGAAAAAAAAATAAAAAAGCATAACATTAACACAGTCGCACTTTTAAGTCAACCTTCATTAGTTTGTTAATAGTGATATGGTTACGAAATTAACGCCAGCTTTTAGCTGTTAGCTTCTTAACGTTAGCATACCTGCTATCTTAAAACCGAAACGGCTAACGTTAGCTTCGTTACATGCGCGATTTTCTGCACATGCCGTTATATTAACAACAGCAGAGCAACTGTTTTACTCACCTTCACGTGGATTTCACCTCCGTTTACAGTCTCTCAAGGCCACGGGCAGCTCCTGACGACTTCGCTATCTTCTCACCGAGACGTTCTTCTTCTTTCACTTAATTTACGGCAGCTGGCTGCGACTTCTTCTACTGCTAAACATACACCGCCCCCTACTGGCTAGTTGTAAATTCAATCTGGCGAAGAAATCTTAGTTTCGGCAGTTTGACCCCTCCCAGAATATTATCATAAGAAATCTGCTACTTGTGTAAAATTAAACTATTTCGTGAATTAAATGGCACGCCTAAAACAGTTCTGAACTGTGGTTTCTGCAACAAGGAACGTTATTAGGGCTATGTATTTTTGCAAACAGCAAGTTCTCACCAGTGTTGGGCAGTAAACTGTTATATTACTTTTCCCAGTAACTAGTAGTGTGCGGATTGCTTTTCAATGCGCGACTACGCCGAGGTCAGCGGCACCGGACCTTGTGTTGTTAAAGTCAGCTGCCAAAAACTAAAGGAAGAAAGGAGAACAAGGAGGCGTTCTTTCCACAGCTGTATAGTTCGTGCCATTATTGTGTCACAGTCCAAGAGCATTGTCCTCTATTGTAAACTTTGTGCGACCAGCAAAATGCGTTCAACCGCGAACAGTTCTACATTTAATTTATTGAAGCATCTGCTAAAGCAGGACAGCACGTCTTGAGAGAGTGGCTTAACGTAACGGTTTGTAAAAATACTGAATACTGCTCTTATAAATAGGCTACATGTGCAGAAAAACAGTAGTTCAAAAGTCAGGATTTACTTGCTTTATTTTTTTATTTCAGCTGGTGCCGTTAAGAAACGTTAGGCTATGTTTTGTATTAAAAAAAACACACACGTACTCCTTGCTACTGTTGTTAATATGATATTAGTTAAAAAGTCGGGAGAGACGGCTTTGTTTGGGGTGAGGGGGGTGGTAGTGAAAGCAGTGTTTCCCATAATTATAATTTGGATAATTATCAACACTGACTGCCACATTTTCTGGTTGTTCTTTTTACTAGACATAGGCCCTACTTTAATTTAATTACAAAATAAATGTAACTGTAATCTATTACAGTTATGAAAATGTTCATGATTACATTGGTGGTTACATCTGAATATTTTCTGTAAACCTTTAAGAAGAAGAAGACGAAGAAACAGCCTACTTTATTTATCCTGCAAGGGGACATTCATTTTTTTTTTAGTATTATACACACACAAGTCTGAAATACACACATGCCCATGCACAAACACAAAGAGAGTGAGGGGGCTGCCACTCAGTGCAGCACCCCAAGCAGTTGGGGGTTCAGGGACTTGTTCAAGGCCACCTTCTGCAGTTCCCAGGAGATGAACTGGCACCTCTCCAGCTAACAGTCCACACTATGTATCTCTGGTCCGGTTTCAAACCAAGTCCTTACTGACTAAGCTACTGCCGCCCCCTTTGCATCTTCTTCATGTGCTCAATGTCTTCCATTGCCATTTCCAGCCACAACCGTTTAGTAAAGTTTGATGCTATTCAGATTGATGCTTTTAATTGGTTCCTCTGTTTGAATTTGCAGCACCAACAGTCTGCCAGTAAAACTGTCTCTCAAGCTGTCTTGAACAGTTGAAAACATTCATTAGAAATTTAGAAAAGTAATCAAAAAGTAATTAAATGTATTAAGTTGCATTACTTTGAAAAAGTAATTGAAATAGTTACACTATTACATTTTAAATAGGGTAACTTACAAGTACTGTAATTTAAATAAACTTTACTTACCGGTACTTACACACACATATGTGTGTCCACAGTCTATGTTCAACACACAAAATAAGATTTAGTATCCATATGAAGTAGAAAACTTCTTAAGCTGGTGTCTCTGTTCAAATATTATCCTATCAGCCAACTCAGAATCATGTCAAACTTGCAGGCAGACAGATTTTGTGATAATGGAACCAGTTCTGCATAGCATTCATGACATTAACTGGCTCTACTGCACCACACAGGAAACATTTATGTTAATGGTGTCTTGTCAACAATCTGTCCATACAGGGGGGTGTCTGTTCCACTGCAGCAGCTTCCTACTCAAGTCCTTGTTCTTTTCTGGGTCGTTCTTCTCGAAAGCGGTGGTTGATTCTGTGCCCCTATTAATTTGTAACTCCACATGTGGCCAACAGGTGCCTTGCCTTATCTCCCTGGACTACTTGACTTGTCTTTTTCTCTTCTGCTGATGTCTGGCCAGCAGATTGGCATTAAGACTTTGTTCAATGTTCTGGATAAAATTTTGTTCCTTTCTCTCTAATTTGTGTTTCTCCCGCCTTCAAGTAGCATCGCTATTCTCTCCTCCTTTTTGAGCTATTTCAGTCTGTGTTTTCCACAGGCGTGGGACCTGGGCTCTACAGACTTCCAGTGCTCATCAGCACCTTTTAGTTGTGGTTCTACTAAGGTTTCACATCCAGCTGTTGTAAAGTCCTGGTCAGGAACTCACAATGTAGAGGGAGCCCAAAGGATTCAGGTTTCAGTTCTGTTCCTGTGCCGTCATCCATTGAAGGGACCTCCTGCAATTGTCATAAATACAATCTAAGTGTAAGTCCGAGGTCGGTACAATTTTAAACATGTTTCCTACCATCTAAAAAAGGAACAGCGGAATAAATAATGTTTGCTAAATAATAATGTTGCTAAATAAACTCATAGTATTTGATTTGAAAAACCTCAATACATTATGCTATTATGGAACTTTTGTTTCTTCCAATGGAAAGACTCAGTGCCAAGATAAAAAGTAGTAGGAGCCGCTTCATAAATGTGATCTACCGAAAGTGACCTGATTTAAAGATGAATGAGTCCACTGGACCATTGGGCTCCTGTCACTTCTATATAATGGATATCATGAGTGGATTTCCTTGTATAAAGCAACATTTAATGGTTGTGTAAGTGTTATAGTGATTCATATTCATTATTTATCCCCACCTTTTTTCCTTTCTCTTCAGTCATTCTTGTTATTGTTAATTCTCCGGCCTCTAATATATGCTTGTGTTGCTAAACTTTTGTACATTCAATAATGCTTTATTATTAAATTAAAAATAAAAGTTTGTGCCACTTTAAAAGCGGGTTGAACATTGAAACACATCACCAAACCACTAAGATGACATAGTTCAAATGAAGATACACAGTATTTTCTGTTTATGGAAGCCAAACTTTCGTCTCACCACTGTCTTGTTTCTGGCGACCCCCTATCTGAACTCCAGCTATAGGAGTTTTCAGCGCTGTGAGTCTCTGGCAAAGGAAAACTACACCAGTGTTTTTGTCAAATTAAGTCTTATGGAGCACTTATTACTTATACTTATAATACTTATTATTTGATAAACATAATGGTAAGAGACAGAAAGTTTGGAAAAATCTTAAACCCGTATCCCAATGTAATATATATATTTTGTATTGTGGCCAGCCTAAGGCACACCTGTGCAATACCCATGTTGTCTGATCAGCATCTTGATATGCCACACCTGTGAGGTGGATGGATTATCTCGGCAAAATAGAAGTGCTCACTAACACAGATTTTGACAGATTTGTGAACAATATTTGAGAGAAATAGGCCTTTGTGTACATAGAGAAAGATCTTTGAGTTCAGTTTATGGTGAATGGGGGCAAAAACAAAAGTGTTGTGTTAATAATTTTGTTAAGTGTATAGTGTTTAAGTAATTTGTGGAAGAGGATTAGGGCCACATGTGAAAAATGTATTTGAGTTCTGAATTTAAACTCAGAACTCAAATTAATTTTGTTGAGCTGGGCTGCTTGTTGTTGGTGTATATTATTGTAAATTGAATATCTCTGGGCTTTGCACTGCTGCTGATCAGACAAAACAAGCAATTTGAATCACTTTTTGTAGACAAAATGATACATCCATTAAACAAAAAATAAAGAGAATAATTTGTTACCTAAGGCACCAAAATATCCACAACTGAAAGGACTCAGCTTTATCGAATTAGGACAACATGAGAGCTGTCATATTGAATCACACTGAATTGTCCAGTTTGTGAAATTGGATGTTAAATCAGAAACACAGCCATGCATGAAAACAGGGTGTGCGTTCCCGTCCTCTTGGAGACATCAGTGTCAGCTACAGCATCTCGCCTCATATGCTGTTGCTATAGTGACTGCTGACTTTGTGGCAACCATGCCTGACAGCTCAGCATGGCATGTGTCTATTTTGTGTTCAAACTGAGAAAACAAGGTCCTCACTGTAGATCCTGGCCAAGCCACTGCATCTTTGGCTATTAATACAAAACTGCCTCTCTGGGATATTCAGCCATAAACATAATCAAAACTCCATGGCAGACATCTTAGCCCATAATCTATATCACTAATACTTATGTGAACAACTCTGATTGTCCAATTCAGCTGTCTTCTATTATAAAGCACGTTTACGCAATTACTGTAATTAAGTGCAATTTTGAGGTATGTAATATTACAATTTGAGATAATTAATTACATTATTAACAGAGACCCAATAATTCCCACCATGGGCAAGTATTTGACGACAGAGGCAAGGAAAAACTCCCTTTTAGGAGGTAGAAAAGGCTTAAACAGAACTGTGATTCAGGTCGGCCATCTTACTTCGTACTTCGTACTTTTTAACAGTTACTAGTTACTTTCCAGATTTTGATTTCTCATACAAAATATAGTCAAAAACTGCAATATGGTGTATCATTATAGATTAAGCTACTACCTCACAGTATAAGCCAATACAGAAATTACAATTAACCCTACCAGCTGCAGCATTAAAGTGATGTAATGCATCCCTAATTATAATCTAAAATATATGATTATGCACAATAAGTATTTTCACTTTTGGCGCAGTCTATTTTGATAATTGAGTAAGTAAAAAAGTATTTTTACACGTGTAGTATTGCTAAAAAAAGAGACTATTTCTTGCAACCATCTTTCCCCAGATTTGTCCTCCAACAGGATCAGGGTGGGAGGCTGTAGCCAAACAACCGGCCACGATGATAGTCAAAATCCCCTAACCTACTTCTTACATCACTTGAGCTTCCGTTAACACAAGCAAGCCAATGAAAATGTGGAAAACACGTGCTGTCGAAAATGTGGAAATTATTATTACCGGTATCCAGTAAGGCTACAAAATGATTTTGTTTGTGATGCTTATCTGAGCTGATGCTGCGTTCAAGTCATTTCGGAGCTATCGTAGTAACGAAGTTTTATTTTGTAATTAGCGTTCATATCGCATTTTAACCTCTATACGACCAACTCTAACATTAATGTATTGAGTGAAATACTTTCCCGTCTGCACCATCCATCCCAAACTGCATGAACGCATCAGGGTTGCCAGGTGGGATATGGCCAGGTCATGTCAGCTAAAGTTACAGTTTATATGTGAAAGTATTGTAAATTATGATATTACCTGGGTTCTATTTTAAAAAATAAAATAAAAAACACATTATATTATGTAACGTATGTAATCTCGAAAACTATCAGAGAAATCACAATGAACAAAAACATTTTAATAACTAGAAATAACATTACTATTAATTCAGCGGTCGAACATTTATTCATCTAGCTACAATAAGTCGTTTCTATCGCTTCATTAAATGTATTTAGAGTATCCTCAGGACAACACGGAAAGTGGGCTCACCCGCCAGAGTAACGTTACAGTTTTCCTGGCTGTGTTTGAGTTGGGAGGAGCAACACATACCTGGCAACACCATCAGTCGCTTTGTTAATGCTTCATTGAGCCAAGATGGCAGACTTCGAAGAGCTCAGCGATGAAGAGAAGGTATTACCTTATAAATTCATACTGTATCACCTTATTATCCTTAACCGGTATCTTGAAAAGTAGCAGTAACGTTACTCTGTGATATCCTTAGTGTGTAATGTTAGCATGAATTGCCAGGCGCGCCGTATTAGGCGTCAGCTGGTGGAGCTAGCTAAGCCAAGGCAGTGTTGTATTTGACAGTTCCGAGTTGCAAGTTATCTTACATGTTGTTCCTGTGCACAAATACATTATGCAAGTTAGCTGACTCACGCGAGCCCGGCCGTCGGCTGAGCTTGATGTAAGTTAAGATGACTATGAGTTTAGAATAAGTGGAAATGATCAGCTAACGCTAAATGAAAGGAAGTCGAGCTACTTCCTGCATTTACAGTAACGTTAAGGATAATGACAGTGCATCGGCAGTACAACACCACCCACACCCAGTTTAACTTACTGTAACTTAACGTCGCTGCCTAAACCGGTCTTGATAACATCATAAATCGAAGTTAGACAGGTTATTTTGTATTTAGCACGGATGACTGTAACTATTTGCACAGGCATCATAGAACTGATGCAGTCTTCCTGCAGTGTTGTTGAGGCGTGCAGGGACTGCTGCTGCTTCCCCTGCCTCATGCTGCTACATGTCAAAGAGTACTTGGCATTCCTGAAGCTGATGGTGTAGCCAGAAGCTTACACCTCCCGGCATTATTACAGTGAACCTTTAAAATAAACGTAAACAAGTCAGTGTCATGAAAGGATTGGCATTTCCCATTTTAAGTTTTCAGATATATACTTTTGATTCAATCTATATCAGATATAAGCTCAAATTATTGAACTGCTTGGTCGAGAATCAGAGCCTGAGCCTGGAAGTGCTTTCTGAACTCTGAATGGAGTGACTATTCAGGAGCAGCACAGTGAAACTGGGTTACTCATTGTTATGCCCCTTTGCCCTTTCAGCTGGACAGCCAGTTTGTAGGTCAGTGCCAGCTGCAGCCTGGAGGCTAAATAACCCTGCCTGACAGACGGTATCACTGGCACAGCCGCACTATAATGTGGCAGTGGCATTAGGACGTAGGTCAGGTTAAAGCTGTTAAGGTCACAAATGAGGGATGAAAAGAGAGAGGGTTTGTAGCTTCTCTATTGAAAGCAAACTTCCATGTTATCTGCTCCCTGGTTGTGTCTAACTTGCCCGTTACCTTACAGTCCTTGTTGACTATTACCTTACTAGTGCCTTCTGCAGCTTTACTGTGTGGCTTTGACACTACATGCTTACACTTGCATACTGGCTGCTAAGAAAAGCCCTTGGGCGACATAACCTGCCTACCATCTAAGGAGCTGCTAAAAGCCAATAAAGTTATCAGACTGCTCTCTGCTCCACTCTAGTGGCTATTTGCAGGTTTTTCACTGCTCACAGAGATCATCTGTTCTATCTCAAAAGACAAAAAAATGACTTATTATTATTATTATTATTATGCTCTACCAGAGTTTCTTTAAGCAAGAAGGGAACTGAACGCATACGTTACACACTGTAACATGATGTGAATGTGATGCCTTGTGCTATTTTTATGTTTTATGACAAGGTATTTTATTTCTTTCTAGATCCGTATTGCATCTAATTTTGTGGTGCACGCTCCTCCAGGAGAGTTCAATGAAGTCTTCAATGGTGAGCTTCATTTGAGATTTACATCTTCAGGACTACCTGCATTTTAATGTGTATGGACACGATCTCTTAATGCTTGTTTTCAGATGTGCGAATACTGCTCAACAATGATAATCTTCTCAGAGAGGGTGCGGCTCAGTAAGTTTCATTCTTTTATCTTTTTTTTCGATCCGGAAAAATATTGATGTTCTGGATGTACATGCAACTTGTGGTTGTATTATTTTTGTTTGATACAGTGCCTTTGCCCAGTACAACATGGATCAGTTTACCCTTGCCAAAATTGAAGGATATGAAGATCAGGCAAATATTTTCTTAAATCATTTTCTCACTGAACCCAATATGAAAAAAATGTCATCATGATTCTACATTATAAAGTCAATGCCTGCGTAATAGCGGCATTGTACCTCTGTCTGGTTCCCCTGCAGGTCCTGATAACAGAGCATGGAGACCTGGGTAATGGGCGCTTCTTTGACCCTCACAACAAGATCTCCTTCAAGTTTGACCACCTGAGAAAGGAAGCCAGTAACCCCCAGCCTCATGAGGGCGAGAAAGCCCTCAAGTCATGGAGAGATGCTTGTGATAATGCCCTTAGGGCCTACGTCAAGGAGCACTACCCCAGTGGAGTTTGCACCGTAAGATCGCTCTCCGAATCTGCACCTTCGCCACCATGTTTAGCATTACACACAATGAACCGCCCACTAATCCTGTTTTATCTGCTTCAGGTTTATGGGAAAATAATCGATGGCCAGCAGACAATTATCGCTTGTATCGAGGGTCATCAATTTGAGCCTAAAAACTTCTGGTAAATTAATGGAGGATAGTAATCTCATTTCAAACTTCCTAATGAAATTCACTCAGACAATTAAGTTGGTGCAGCGTAGACACATGATGCGTTACTGCGTTAGGTGTGTTTGTGATCAGTTTTCAAGTGCACTCCTCTACATTTTCTGTTTCCAGGAATGGTCGCTGCCGGTCTGAATGGAAGTTCAGTGTCTCGCAATCTACAGCACAGGTGACTGGAGTCATGAAAATACAGGTATGTTGAGTAAATAACAGGTGTAGTATGAGCTCAGCTATGGAGTTAGTTTTGTTTAACTGTTTATATCCTCTTGTTTATCTCAGGTACATTATTATGAGGATGGGAATGTGCAGCTGGTCAGCCATAAAGATGTACAGGAAGCACTGACTGTGTCTGTAAGTATTTCAACTTATTAATAGTTTTTATATTTTTAAACTCTGGAGTGTTTTTTACGGGAAAGCCGAAGATTCCTGTGTTTGCATTTTCCAAACAAACCTAAGTGGCGTTGATAATCCAGAAGCAATTAGAAAATAAATGAATGGATTTATTTTTTAGTATTCCTCATATGATTTATGTTGATGTGTGTTAAATTAGTTGAATTTGTCGTTTGTCAGAACGAGAGCCAGACTGCAAAGGAGCTTGTGAAAATTATTGAGGACGCAGAGAATGAATACCAGGTATGTGGGAGTTAAGAATAATAAGAGTTGCTTCCCTTTATGAATGAAAAGTCTTTATTTGGGCCATGCCAACTATGCCCAGGTCGCATAGGCTTACAAGACACCACAAATACATATATGCCAGATCCAGAATGCTGACTATACGTTTTCAAACAATCATATTTTCAGACCTATATGACTCATAAGTCACTGACAAAGCATGTCCTGTATAAAACTGGAAATCAGAATGAATAGTTAATTAGTTTCCAGGTTTTTGAGACAAAGTTAGGAAACTGAAACACATGAAACATGATGTGACTCAATTGACTCAATTACCACTTCTCCCACAGCTCACACATTCAGTTTTCCTTCTGAAGTCACTGACACATGATATCACGGCCGGACTGACACACTTATCTTTGTTGGTTTTTCAGGTGGCCATCAGTGAGAACTATCAGACGATGTCGGACACCACATTCAAGGCCTTACGCAGACAGCTCCCAGTCACCCGAACCAAGATTGACTGGAACAAGATCCTCAGCTACAAGATTGGCAAGGAGATGCAGAATGCTTAGAGGACAGAGGCTGTTTGGGGTTACGACAACAACAAGTTGGAGAGATGCTGACGCTCGCGCAAACATGTGTGACGCAACATAATGTACTGTATGTCCTTCTAAAAAGAGACATTTGTTAGGGTTTTATCCAGAGAATGACAGCTTCCATTATGCACTACGAGGGGACGCCTTCATTTTAAAATGACATTGAGTGGTGTAACTGTCACTCATCTGCAAACATATGTAATTTTTCTTTTTTAAATAATGCCTTTAGTGACACTGTGAAAGCATTCCCTTCTATTCGAATTCATACAGTCACATGTTAAACACACACAGTTTCTGATCCCTCAGTGCTTCAAATGGACACACATCCTCTCAAAACCCCTTGACTTTCGTGTAGCAGTTCATTTACACTCTATAACAAAACCGATATTCTTTGAGAGTTTCCAATACCTCTATATTTTATTCTTATTTTTTTTTTAATGAACAGAGGGCAAATACTGTATGCAATTCGATATGTTAATTGATAGAACCAAATTATACAGTTTCTTTTTTGGTCTGAAGATCCCATCGGTTGATACTTATGCATCCCTCTGGATGCAGGATTGTAGACAGTGGACATCTTCTTTCTTTCTTTTCCCATTCACTAACCATATTTTGTCTTCCTTATGGACTTTAGTTCTTTCGCTTCTCTCTGATATTTTCGGTGATAATCCCTCTATATCCCCCTGGACTGATACAGTATTGGTGTTCTCCTGCCAGCCGTTTGCCTTTAGCTTTTGCTATATTTTTTATACAAACTGTAAGTACATTTATTATTCATGAAATAAAAATAATGTCTTCAAGCAATAGTTATCGTCTGTGTTTTACATCAATTATGGATTTTTTTTTTTTTTTTTACAGAGCCTAGGTTACAGATGTTTTCTTCTGAGTTCTCGTATTAACCTGAAGACACATGACTAACTACAAAAAAATGTATGAATTAAACGGGTTTAGTATTTTCTCCTGGCAATTACATACATACAGACCATTATGTAGTGAGATACAGTTAGCAGAATATATAATTGTGCACATCCCATCCCTACTAGTGATGTTTCTAGTCAGGATGCTTTTTATTGCTCCTCTGTAAAGGTTGACAAGAATTTGGCTTTCAGAAGTTTCCTTAATAAATACAGCGATTTCAGAGTTTTTTTCACCAGAGTGGAGATGTGAGATGACCATGTCAGGTTCTCTGTGATGTTGATTCTAAGGAACCTGAAACTGTTCATCTGCTCCACCTCAGCACCACTGATGTCTGTCTTTATCTCCTTTTTTCTAAAATCACTGATCACTGCTCCTTGGTTTTGATGATATTGAGAAGTAGGTTGCTCTCTGCACCACTCTGCAAGATTATGAATTTCCTCCTGATATGAAGTCTCATAGTTTGAAATTCAGCTAATGATGGTGGTGTCGTCTGCAAACTTCACAACAGAGTTCTCTCCATGTCGGAGGTTGCCGTCATAGGTGTACAGCGTGAGCACTAGAGTGGAGGAGGTGTTGACCGGGAAACATGATTGAAAAGTCATCTATTTATAGTTGGCCGGGAAATTAAATGATATTGAAAAGCCATGGATTTATAGTTGACCGGAAAATATGATTGAGAAATCATTGAATTATAGTTGACCGGGAAACATGATTGAAAAGTCATTGAATTGTAGTTGACTGGGAAATATGATTGAGAAATCATTGAATTATAGTTGACTGGGAAATATGATTGAGAAATCATTAAATTACAGTTGATCGGGAAACATGATTGAAAAATCATCTATTTATAGTTATTTATAGTTGACCGGCAAATGACGTGATATTGAAAAGCCATGGATTTATAGTTGACCGGGAAATACTGTATGATTGAAAAGTCAATGCAGTATTGTTGACCGGGAGACCATCGCTTGGTGGATCAACGTTTCTGAACCCCACACATCTCACAAGTCCACATCAGGTAAGCACATATTTATTTATCTAATGTTTAATTGTACCAAATTTGTAGAAATTTATCGTTTATTGACATTGTCTAACATTATATGCAGTCATAGACTATGTACAAGTGTTTCAATACCATTTTATACTGACAATATCCAAGCTCCATTGTATTAGGATAAGTTAATTCGCTAGTATAAATGCTAACTTTATCACCAGAAGATAAAATCCTGTACAGGACTGTAAGTTATGAACTGTATTTTATCTTTGCTCAGATTTCGAGTGCTTTGCGAAATATATGCTCGTAACTGATCCTAGCTAATCATTCATTGTCTAGCTAGTCATTTAACTTTAAATAAGCCAGCTAACTTGATACATCTGTCAGTCTTTTACAACTTTCAGCCTCCAGATTCAATCTATGACTGCATTTAATGTTAGACAATTTAAATAACGTTAAACGTTAAACTATAAACGTCAATGGATTCCACCACAGCCAGGCAGTCTACATCTACAATAAACTGGCAAATTGGTAACGTTAGTGAATTCAAGTAAGTTAACTGTTACAATTCAGCCCAACTGACATTGTTCATCTTCACATCCTTTTCACTACTGAAAGTTGTTTTGTTTGTATGTTTTCTGTTATAGATGCCCTGACTGAACCAATGGGGACAGAAGTCTTTGACTTTGCCCAGGCAGCACAAAAGTGGCTTCCTATGCTCCAGACTTGATGGGTGGACAGAGCAGAACAGGAGTAGTGAATCATTTTTTATTCCATAAATAAACTTGTATTTTTTAACTGATTAAATTGTATTTTTAATATATCATAGTCTTTTTTCTGTGGTTTAATATTGGTTGAAATACCATTGAGGTCACGTTGATTTTTAGTTAGCTATGATTTCAACATGGTTTCAATATTAAAAAAGGGTGCAAAATGATGATGAATCAACATCAGAGTCTGATGACCAAGCCAAGGCATGGTCAAACATTTGTTATCAGTATCATGTTGGTCAAAAACATGTTCAACAAGGGCGTAGGTTTGCATATGGACAGTTTTCCCTACCAGTATTTGTTGTGTCTTGACCATTGTTGAGACCAAACCTACACCCTTGTAAACCACTCTTACAAACAGCCCTTATTTTGTTTCAGTCAGGAAGGTAATGGTTGTTGTAAATGATAAACTGTAGAGGGTGCCATTTATCTAAGTACACTGAACAAAATTATAAACGCAACACTTTTGTTTTTGCCCCCATTCATCATGAGCTGAACTCAAAGATCTAAGACTTTCTCTATGTACAGAGAAGGCCTCCATCCATCGTCAACTGCTTATCCTGCGTACAGGGTCGCGGGGGGGCTGGAGCCAATCCCAGCCGATATCGGGCGAAAGGCGGGGTACACCCTGGACAGGTCGCAGGGCCACACGTAGACAAACAACCAGGAACACCCACACTCACACCTAAGGACAATTTCAGAGTCACCAAATAACCTAGTCCACATGTCTTTGGATGGTGGGAGGAAGCCGGAGCACCCGGAGAGAACCCACACAGACACGGGGGCCTGGAACAACCAAGGTTCGAACCCACGACCCTCTTGCTGTGAGGTGACAGCGCTAACCACTGCACTGCCACACAAAAGGTCTATTTCTCTTAAATATTGTTCACAAATCTGTTAAAATCTGTTAGTGAGCACTTCTCCTTTGCCGAGATAATCCATCCACCTCACAGGTGGCATATCAAGATGCTGATGAGACAGCATGGGTATTGCACAGGTGTGCCTTAGGCTGGCACAATAAAAGGCAACTGATGGGGGCAAAACAAATGTGTTGCGTTTATAATTTTGTTCAGTGTAGTCTATCTATCTGTGTGTGTGTGTGTGTGTGTTTGTGTGTGTGTATAAAAACACATACTGTCACGGTGGGTGCAGGGTAAACAACAGACACAACATAGTAGGGCTGGGGCGATTCGTCGACGCGCATTACGTACGTACGTACGTCGCTGCATCCGGTGTGGGATTCTCCCGGCCAAGTTCCAGCTACAAGACCGCGCCTTCGACCGTCTAAAGTTTGGAGTATTTCAGACAGACACTCAACAACGCGCTGCTCCATGAGCTCTGTGAACTGGAAACAGCTTCACTGCAGCACAGCTGCTGTCCACGAACACGTGAAACGAAAGTATCCCGCAGCACTTTGTCTAGACGGCAGCACCGCAAATCGTGCTTACTTTCTGTTGCCACGCAAGCACGGCACATTATCAGCACGAGGACACGTAATATTTCTTCATTGCCTTCATGTTAAAAGTAATTTCTGCCCCGCTGCTGTCATGGTAACGTAACGTTACACCGCGAGTCATGTAACGATCGGCTGTTTATATATTCTGTTTATTTAACGGCCACGTATGAGCGAGAAAACAGCTAATCTAATTACAGACGATCTGTGACTGTACATTCAGGTGTTCACTAATGCAGAAATACATTTTATTATCATACTGCATTACTTCATATTGAAATGAATCCAAGTCAGAAACATTTAAAGTTTTAAGTAGCCTAATTAATGTCTGTTATTGTTATTATCACAACACATCAGTGACGTGGAAATTTGATTCATTTTGAGATTTGCTGCTATTGTCATTCTAATGTGCTTCATGAGGATGATTGAATAAAGTATAGATTATTGATTAGACATGTTTTTGATATTTATTTTGGATAAATTGGTATGTTAATCCAGTAATAGGCAACTTTTCTTTCTTTAGAATAAACAAAAATAGTCGTTAGATTAATCGACTTGAAAAATAATCGATATGTACAGCCCTACAACACAGGTTATATCACAAGATGTAACAGATCAGAAACAACTACCTAACTAACTCAGACACAAGCAGACAGATCACAACAAAACTAACACCTACAGGGAAAACAGACTGAGGATGGGATAAAACAGAACTAATAGCAGACATGGGTAGTACACAGAAGTACACAGACTAACTATATAACAGATACTGGACACAGGGCAATAGACAGGACAGACCACATGCAACAAAATACCAGACAAGAATCTAACTTCAGACAATAACAGAAACCCATGTAAACAGACAAACACTGACCAACTATTACACAGGGATCATAACAGACAAAAACCTAAACGAGAACACAGAACTAGAACACAGAGTACCGAGCAGACTAAACCAAAATGATGCAGAGAAAGAACTAGAAGCAAATACTATGGCATGAACTAAGGCACAGGACTAGGAACAAAGACATGGAACAAAAACCCAGACTCCCCAACAAGACACACAGACAGGACTGAAACCCAGAACCAAAATCAAAACAGAGAAGGCATGGCCAAAATAACAAAATCCAGACAAGCTCAGGACAGGATCATGACACATACATACTGTATTACATTGGGATACAGGTTTAAGATTTGTTCAAACTTTCTGTCTCTTACCATTATGTTTAGCAAATAATAAATAAAGACTGATAACAATAAATGTGACTGAATTTGACCAAAACACTGGTGTAGTTTTTCTTTGCCAGAGACTCACAGTGTTGAAAACTCCTATAGTTGGAGATTTAGATAGGGGTTTTCCATAAACAGAAAATACTGTATATCTTCATTTGAAGCATATCATCTTAATCATAGTGGTTTGCTGATGTGTTTGAATGTTCAACCCGCTTTACAAGTTGCCTTTTATTGTGGCCAGCCTAAGGCACACCTGCGCAATACCCATGCTGTCTGATCAGCATCTTGATATGCCACAGCGGTGGATGGATTATCTCAGCAAAGGAGAAGTGCTCACTAAGACAGATTTTGACAGATTTGTGAAAAATATTTAAGAGAAATAGGACTTATGATATAACATATGATTACCAGTCATTTAAAATAATAAAATAAATATTAAAATAATGTAAGCGGTGCAAAAGGGTTGGAGCTGTCCTGATACATGAATATGACAGCGCAAAAGTTATCTTCTTTGTGTTTTTCATTTCATAGGAACATTATGCAGAGGCAAGTTTTTCTTGGAAGGTTAGTTTACAGAATATGAACAAAGTAACAGAAACGTCTTTATTTACTGACTGACCACTACATAAGTTGAGGACACACATGGCAGTTTATAAATTAATTTGAATTAGCCCTAACCTTACCAGCTGTGGGTGGTGATGGGGCAGTGGATAAGACACATGCCTTTGGTGTGAGAGACCTGGGTTCGATTCTACACTGTGATACATCCACCAATGTGTCCCTGGGCAAGACGCTTAAAGATCTGCAGCAGTTACATGTAACATACACATTAATGCACCAGTAATGTCAATCCATCCATCCATCGTCAACTGCTTATCCTGTGTACAGGGTCGCAGGGGGCTGGAACCTATCCCAGCTAACATCGAGCAAAAGGCACTGGACAAGTCGCCAGTCCATCGCAGAGTAATGTCAATCCATTAAAATAAAATAAAAATCCAAAACATAACACATAATAGCAGTCTAATCTGTAGGAGTACTTTACAAATACTTTGAGTACATTTAGCAGATAATAGGCTACTTACTTACAGGAGGCTACTTTTACTTAAATAAGGCGTTGAATGCAGGATTTTACTTGTAGTGTTATGAAGTATTTTCCCAGTATTGCTACTTTTTACTTGTAGTGTTATGAAGTATTTTCCCAGTATTGCTACTTTTACTTAAATAAATGATCTTAATATATCTTCCATCACAATAGATTATTGACTGCGAAAATAATCATAGTATCAGAATTCATGACACATCCCAATATTTATGCTTCGACAAGATAATCCCAAACTTGAAGTTGTCTGGCTGGGGAATTGAATTGCCAAAACTCAGCAAACCGCTGCTGGAGTGACTATGATCATGCTTTCTGTATACCTTGTAATATGATTTGGAAAAACATAATAACAAACTGTGGAATGTAGAATTGTATGTAAAACCAGTTAAGTACAAGACAGAATGTAAAACATATTCAGGCCTCTTTAGGAATCAACAGATGACACTGAAACAGGCTTGGTTTAAATGAGGAAAGACGCTGAAACAAAATGCTGGATATAGGCTCCATGATTAGAACCTCACAGATACTTTGAGAATGGTGAAGGTGGAAATAACAAGACCCGGACCAGCTCGGCTCTATTGTGTATTTTGTGACTTCAGTTCACAACAAATAAATAAATATAACCAAGTGGCCTGACCTTCAGTCTGCCTCTCAACTTTGACTAAAGTTTATTAAGTAATGAAAAACGTCCACAACAAATAGTTCCCATTATAATGAATGGTTTAAGGCAGCTAAGTGCATTATAAAAGATTATAATGGAAATAAAAGGCCTACCCATTGAACATGCTATGGCTCTGTAGCGGCTCTGCTGGTGATTGTGTAGCCTAATAAAGTTTAGGGAGTGTCAACAATAACATGTCCGAGGATTCCCGTGCAGTCATCATGTTTGACAGGGAGGGAGACGTAAAACTCTGCGCCTTGTAAGGCATTTAAAGACAAAAGAACAAAAGTTGTTCGCTTCGACGACGTATTTTGTTCTGCCGCCGACGCGTTTTCGCTCTCTTTGTGTGAAACACTTGCAGACGCTCCCTAATTTACCTGAAAACCGTTGGAGGGCGTTCATCAGCTTTACGTTTTGCGCTAAACTGCGCAAAACACTATATCACGTAACGATGTTTTAACCTACAAAAAAATGAATGAGCAAGCAATCCCCGCGTAAAAGAGTAACTTCAACACATTGAATGTGCGAAAAAGTCGCGAAAAATACGTATCATGTGGAAATATCCTCGCTGTCAGAGCACAAACACACCCACAGCTACTTCAGGAACCTGATGTGATGGTTAGTCAGCCGTGTAACTTCCTCGTTGGAGTCAGTAGCAACTGCCTGTGAGACGTTGACATGCCGCTCAAAGACTGTCTTGAATCCGGACTGGACTTCATTGAATTTCTGGGAGACAGAAAATCAAACACCAGCAAGAAGGAACTTCGTGACATCTATTACTCTGAATTTAAGGGCAGGTAAGCTGCAAAAACAAGCGGGTGTCAAATGCAGTTGTGCATGCTGGGTTGAGTATATAACCTCAATATCACTTCCTGTCTGTATGTTTATGTCCACAGAAAAGGAATAAAAGACCCGAGCTTTTCCAGTGTTCTTTACGCCCTTGTGAAATTCAACAAAGCCCAAATAAGACAAGGGGAAATCTTCATAAATGCCAAACCCCAGGTAAGATGAGCTGGGTAGCTGAGAGTCCATAGGTTTTGCTTTATGTTTATTCTTTCCTTTCACCTGCCTTGGCCTTACGGATGGAAATAGCTGGTAGATAATCTGGTACAAAGCTTCTCTTCTCTTTTAGGGTTTTATGTATATAGTACACGGTCCCTAATAGAAATACATTTAATAAATTATAGAGGAACATAGGCTGTAAACGCTTACTCATCATTCACACCCAACTAAATTAACAAGACTGGACATGTTTTGTGTTTTGCTCCAACTGGAAGAAAATTCCAAAATAAAATGAGGAAGTATGAAGTCATTTATAATCACTGTTGTAGGTTCGAGTGTACTGTGACCAGTGGAGAAGGCCCCGGGCCTCCCAGCTGCCACACAGTCCCAGCTCAGGCCCTCAGAAGAGAGCTCAGACACTTGCACCCTCCTCTGTCCCCTCAGTCCCTGTGCTGACCCCCAAGAAAAAGCTGGCTACGGAAATCCTTCTCAAGTTAAAGGTGAACAGGTAGGTTTGTTTGTGTGCACTGTATAATGCTGTAATATGTTTCACTAACCCGTGTGTTACCCAAAAATGTCATCAGTTGTGTCAAAAGTCACGTGAACTGTGGGGGTGTTGTGGCACATCTGTCACATGGCAGAGGGATGAGGAGTCCAGGAGAGCACTCTTTTGTCATGCAGTGTTTATGATGAGGTGGTGCAGTGATTTAGCGTTGTCGCAAGAAGGTCCTGGGTTCAAACCGGCTCGTCAGCTGGAGCCTTTGCCCGTTCTCCCTGTGTCTGTGTCAGTTTCCTCAGGTGACAAACACATGCAGGTTAAACTGCCCCATAGCAGGGAATGTGAGAGTGAGGGGTTGTACGTTTAAAAGTGACAGCCCTGTGATAGCCTGGCAACATGTCCACTTCTTGACCGATGCCAGCTGGGACAGGCACCAGTCCCCCTGGAACACCAAAAAGCATAAGTGAGATAAGGACTACAAATAACGATTGTTTATAATCTGCAGGTGAAAAATGGCCATCACAAATTTCTTAAGCCCAATGTCACATCTGATGCCTGATTGTGACTCTCTACTAGGAAAGAGTTGACAGCTGACAAGGGGGGCATTGAGATCACTTCAGACCCCGTGGCGAGTGGTGGTAAGGTTCAATTCACTGTGGATCATCTGAAGGAGCTGTTTATCCTCAAATTCCACATCATGAACAAGGGCACAAACTGCATCCACTTCACCTACTACACTGCCCTGCACAAGATACGCTGCTTCACCCTGGAGGATGAGAGGAGAGTGACCAGAGCCTGTCCTCTCTTCCTCTGTCCCGGTGAGAAAACTAGCACTTCCCCTCTTTTTCCATTGACAAAAAACACACTGAAGTGGTTATTAATGCTCAGAGCTCCTCCCGTGTCATCTTCTTTCTTTCACAGGAGAAAGTTATGAAGTTATAGTTCGCTACATGCTGAACCACTATGGATATTTCCCTGCCACAATGTACTTCGAGTTCTGCCCAGATCTGCCGGGATCTGTACCCTTTTGCATTGTGAGGGAGATGGAAGCAGCGGCCAGGACCCCGCTGGCTGTGGAGCTGGGGCCTGTGGCTCCTTACAAACCATTTCAGGTGGTCACATACAAGTCCGTCGACACTGTGATAGTGGAGGGAGTACCTCCTGACAGGCAAGTTATTAAAAACTGATTGTAAACCAGTTCACCAGTCAAGTGCACTTTAGATGCCTGGTGATTTAAAAACTACAGCATATGTGAAAAAAGTTAAAAGTTAATTTTAAAGATTGTGAATAATAATAATGTGTATAAAAAGATGGTCTCTGATTCTGATTTTTAACTGTCCATGATGCTGGTCCCCTAAATTAAAAAAATTATGTGTAACAGATAAATGCAGCATACTGTCTCACTATCTAGATACAGATCTTTTTCCCAACAGCAGATAATCCATTACAACAGATTTCAGTACAAATATTTGATTTGGGAGCTGGTTGGAGCAATTTTCCTCACTAATTGAAACTGATCAACAAATGAACCCAGAGTGGTTATGGTAATTGTGTTTAATTCATGTTGATTACAGTTAAGGTGTGTGTGTGTGGGTGTGTTTTGTTCTCCGCAGTTCCATTGTCCAGCATCTAAAGATGACAGTGAAATTAGGAGACTACATGTACCCTCATTACCTAAAAGAATTGGCTAAACAAAGGATGGAGGACTCTGAGTACCTCTCCCCAGCTCTCAGGCAGAAACTCGCATCAGTCAAGTGAGAGCACGACCTAATTATTGACAGTTAACCATGCCTTTTATCAGTTGAGTATTTTCTGTGCTTAACTCCCTACTTTATGTCCAGGGGTCTCCTCAACTCTCCCTTAAAGATGAAGAACTACTCTCAGCGATTTCACCTCCTGCTACACCTGGAAGAGTTACAGATGGAGGTGGACATCAGGAAGTATGACCTCCGCAAACAAATCATGACTCAGGACCAAAGAAACAAAAAACTGCTCAAGCTCACAGTAAGGAATCCTCAAAGTACGCTTAAGTACTGTTTTTAAATAGCACCAATGAAAAGGTGATGTCTTGGGAGTCTAGAACAGGTGTTTCCTTGATCTAAAGGGCGCTTTAATATGATGTGATATTATTGCTATATGTTGCTGACCTGCTGATCAACTGTAAGTTCAGTGATCTGTGTTGGGAAAGGAGTGAAAATGCTTAGCGGAAAGAAGGCCAACATTGACATTCTCCAACAGGTTCCTGGTGTTGCTGAGAATCGGCCATCTGTACTACGAGGCGATTGTCTGAGGGTGTCCAAATCTGAAGACACGAGCCAGCCGATCACTGTGTACACCGGTTATGTTCACAGAGTAGAGCTGGATAGTGTGAAGCTGGGCTTCTCAAAGAAGTAAGAGCTTGGACTAAGGATACCTGTCTGCTTGAAACCCAGTTAATGTCTCGGACGGTGAATAAAAGAGCCAAACTCGCACCTTCCTCATTTCCCACCCCTGATTCAGGTTTTTGGAGAAGTTTCTCAGCAATATGAAGTTTGACGTGGAGTTTACTATTAACCGGTTCCCCTTGAAGCTGCAGCATCGGGCGGTGGAGTTGGCGCCAAAACATCAGCTCGAAGAGGTGCTGTTCCCATCTGCTGCAGCAGTGGATAATCTCGCAATGCCTAAACTCAGGTACGGTGCCCATACACATCAAGAACAAGCATACAAAACACTTTAAAAATAAATAAATGTATTATCTTCTACAAACACAAACCTAACCCCCTTAAAGTACTGATCTCATGTACTCGCTCTGCAGAGAAGCTTAAACTGTCTGGCATTGGTGATAAGAGCACATTAACTCCTAATGATTAGCGTGTGCTGAGCAGCCTTCGCCTCAGTTCTCTCTGGGCTCTCTTCCATCCTATCATATTAACAGGAGGACGTGCTGTTCTTTGGTTTAAAGCCATAAACTTGCCTCATGTAGATATGGTAAAACATGGCATATTATGTTGGCTGAGGACTTGCATGCAGAACCTTGTTTCCTAGAACTCGGACCAGACAAGTTCACTGGTCACTGCTTAGACATGATTGTAACAAACTTTTATCCCCGGCCCTTACCGTTGGTTACTCCACTACAAGGGCACAAGATACAAATGAGATTTTCATCTCAGAATCAGAAGGAGCTTTAGAAGTGTTTTACACATACGAGGAATTTGCTTTGGTGATAACGTGCTACACGTAGACAAACATACAGTTGACATAAATAAATGTAGACATTTTATATGTTTTTATTTATTCAGCTGATCTGTTAAACACCTATTTTTAGCCTCTGCTCCACATTTTTAACTTTTTAAGTGTTTCAACAGTGTGCACCGTGTAAAAAGCCATTCTCACATTACTGTCCAGGATGTTCAACCGCCAGCTGGAAAACAACCCGCAGCAACATGCTGCGGTGCAGCGCATTGTAGCCGGATCATCAAAGCCTGCTCCCCATCTTGTGTTTGGGCCTCCTGGAACTGGAAAAACCATCACTTTAGTTGAAGCTATGAATCAGGTATGAATTGTTTAAAATATGCTGTTATTATTAGTATTATTATATGGACTAGAACTGCACTAATTAGTTGATTAATTTGTCAACCGACAAACTATTTCGATAATGGATTTGATCATAATAATAATAATGCATTACATTTATATAGCGCTTTATCATGGAAACTCAAAGCGCTTCACAGTGAAGTGGGGGTGGGGGGGACTCACCTCAACGACCACCAATGTGTAGCACCCACCTGGGTGATGAACGGCAGCCATTTAGCGTCAGAACACATAGTCATTTTTTACAAGCAATAATGCTCAAAATTCTGTGGTTTTAGCTTCATGATCATTACATCATAGTAAATTGAATATTTTTAAGTTTTGAACTGTTTCTTGGACAAAACAAGATATTGAATGACGTCAGCTTCGGTTCAATGATATTGTGGTAGCTATTTTTGCTGGTTTCTGATGTTTGATAGATCAAACAAGTAGTCGGTAATCAAAATGACCTTAGTTGCATTGTTAACATCAACACATTGTTATCTACCAGAGTTGGGAGAGTTTGTGTTTTCTCTGTGCACGTCTCATTGGAAAAAAAGGTGACGTCATGGATTTCCACCTGCCAATCAGATAGCAACAAACAAAGCAATCAGAATCAGCTGTGGGGTGTGGTGGTTGCCAGTGCCACTGATAAGGCAGTGGGTGTTCAATCCAATCAAACCACACCCTCACAGTCCTGAAGAAGCAGATTTGATTGTGTCTCATTAATTTCAATGTTCTTTAGTCAAAAATATTTAATATCAAAGAGAAATTATTAATCATTTATAATCTGTGGGAGTTCATGGGGGAGCTGCTCATCAATAAAAGAAGAGGCAGCCATAAAAAGGATACTTTATTATACATAATGTTTAGGAAAATTTAGTAAATGTATTCTGTAAGATGATTTCATTCCATAAACCTGGATATGTAGACTGATGAACTGTTAAAACATCTCTGTGGTGGAAGTAAATAATTGGCTGTGATGGGACAATAAAATTAACCCGCAGACTATAACTGGTCGTTATAATTCAACTCATTCAGACTCATGGTCTGAATTCAGTAATGCACTATTTAGTTTTTAGTATGCATGATTTTATTGTTGTTTCCGAGATGCACATGTTGCCACCCAAACCAACACTGTTGTTTATAAACAAAAATAATATAATAATAATTTGTTGTGAATGAATTTTTCTTTGCTCACATTGACAGGTCAGCAGGGCAGACCCATCAGCCCACATCCTCGCATGTGCACCTTCAAACAGTGCATGTGACCTTCTCTGCGAGAGACTGATGGTACACATGGATCCACATCAGGTTTACCGTGTGTACGCTAACAGCCGAGACCCAAGAACTGTCCCCAAGCACCTACTGGTGAGTCAGCTGTTAGTTTTACCTCCACAGCATAATCTGGTTACTGGCCAAAAACCTGCTGAAGTTTTATTGGTGGTAACTTGTACTGTATCAGTACACTTATGGATGGGTGTAAAATCTGTCAAAGAACTCAGAGAGACATATTTGGATTAACTATATTTTTACTCATCTTTTGGTATTTCCAGAAATATTGTAACTGGGACGAGAGACAAGATGGTTTTGTGTGTCCAAAAAAAGGAATTCTGATGGAATACAAAATCATTGTTACAACTATGGTCACAGCTGGCAGGTAGGTTGCTTGCTTGCTTATACAACTACTCAGTATTAGGCACTATTTGACTCTTTGGCTCTCGTTTGCATATTACAATCATAAAATGTCTGCTGTGTGTTTCTGTGTTTAGACTGGTGTCTGGAGGAATCCCAGTCGGCCATTTTACCCATGTCTTTTTGGATGAAGCAGGCCAGGCAGTGGAGCCAGAGTGCGTCATTGCTATTGCAGGTAAATGCTGAATTATCAGCGTACTACAGTAAGTCTTTATTTTTTTGATGAAACCTTGATGAAAGTCCCTTTTTTGATGAGCTCAAAACAAAAGCATCCTTTAAAGAAGCATACAAATGAATAGAGTACATAGATCGGGTGTGCTGGTCTAACTTAATTAAATTTGATGGATGATCCTCTTCGCATCGTAATCTAGCATGTGCAGATCATAATAGCTTAACGCTGCACTAAAATTAAATATTTTCAGGCCAAATGAAATGATTGGATGGGCTTATTACAGGCCTGCACAGTTACTAGATTTTTTTTTTTTAAATTTGCTTTCAGGATGTAAAGATAATTTTAACAAATACAACAAAAAATGTTCCTGTAATACATTACCTACCTTTTACAATCAGGATTTCACACTTTCATGATGTCTCAAACTATTTTTATTCTGACTATTCTGGTGAGGACTCTGGTGAGAAATAAATGTCTGTCACACTGTACAGAACTGAATATACTTGCTTAAAATAGGATCTGATGATGGAGGGGAGAAGTGGTGCAGTCCATCTACCGAGGCTGTGAAAGACTGAACAGATTTCTCATTTTTCAGAACCAGATTTCACTTGCACGTTTGTGAAAGCACACAGCCTCTTCATCATTGCCAAGACAGGCGATCGCTTAGTTCATCAGTGAGCATGTCCAGTGGCATTTGTAGTTCTGTCCATTTTCACAACTTGTTGCAAACCTGGCCAATAGCTGCAGGAAGTTTGTGTGACTGATTTGCGATATCAAAAAGTTTTTAAAAATTGAACAATGCCTTGTTATCCTTCTTATGTCTGAAAGAAGCTTTTCACTGCAGAACGGCAGATCTCAGAGAGCATATATTGACACATTTCATTGTCACAGTTTAGAGGGTCTCATAATTAAAGGTCAAAATGTATGTACATTAGTAAGAGCTACATCAGTGGTGAAACTGAAGCATCTTGTTACTGATTGGTTGGATGTTTCACTGTGTTTCACAGGTCTGCTCAGTGCAAAAACGGGTCAGTTGGTGCTGGCAGGAGATCCCAAGCAGCTAGGACCGATCCTTCGATCGCCTCTTGCACAGCAGCATGGACTTGGTGAGATGAGGGGGATTATGTATTGCACACTGTGATAGTAATTATTGCGGTGTGTACCACTTTGTTGCTTCTGCTCTTCATTGTGTCTCAGCTTAAGCAACTTAATGATTGAAGGATATACATTTAATGCTGTGACAATGATGTTCTGTAGGGCTTTCTCTGCTTGAGAGACTGATGAGGCATAACCCTTTATATGAGAAAAGTACAGACTCCGGACACTTTGACACCCGCTTTGTCACCAAACTGTTGCGAAACTACAGGTGTGTTTTTCAGTTTTCACCTCCATTTTGCTTGTTATAGTTTAAAGAGGTGGTATTATATTCTTCTTTATTGATTTATATACCTTTTTTGTGCATGTAATATGTTTTCAAAGTGAAAAAGCCCAAAGTCCACCCAAAAGGGAGTTCCCATCTCCTACAGAAAACACTGCTCTGAACTGCCCGAAAACAGCTTGTTTGTAGTCCCGCCGTTTCCCGCCTCATATAACGCTCTCCAAGCAGCCAGTCCGACATGCCCTCAAAAACACCGGTGGAAAAATATTGAGCTGCAGCACACACCTCTCCTCTCCCTTCCAAACATTAGCTACCCTCTTGGCAGTCCATCGACATCAAGCTGTTACTGTTATGTAGAGACAGAGCTCAGTTAAAACTTTATGGATGACAAATACTTTTGTTACAGATTAATAACTCCCCACTCTGAAACTCTTGCTCCAGTGTATGTTGCCAAGCTGGTCGGCAACATGTACAGCTGAACCGAAGCCGGGCTTCTCACTGACCCAGCCATCTCTGCTTCTGATTGGCTAATAGTCCTTAACTAGGAACTGTGCATGTGCAACTCCCAACAAAGATCATTTAGAGACAAGATGTATCACTCCATAGCTAAAACAAAGCCTTCAACACACAGGGTGAAAAGGAGCTGCAGCAATGTGCAGTATGACAAAAATATGGTGTTTTTTGAAACTTAAACCATGTAAACCTGTTCTGGTACAACCCCTAAATAGGATTTTGAACCTGAAAATTAGCATAATACCACCTCTTTAAAATGCTGCTTTGTTGATTAAAACTCTTCAGCTTTGTTGTTTTTTTTTCCTTTCTTCACTCAGGTCTCATGATGCCATCCTGAAAATACCAAATGAGCTGTTCTATGAGAATGAACTGCAAGTGTTTGCTGACCAGTGGGATCGTGAGGCCTACTGCAATTGGGAATACCTTCCAAAAAAGGTGTGGCCACAAGAATGTTTAGTTATTTAATATCTCAAAACTGATGAAATGATCTCAATACTGATATGATCCTGATACGCAGCAAAGCATTCTGATGGCTGTACATATTTCAGCAATCTATTTATATATCCCTTAAAGGGATTATATTATTTGTTATTATTATGTTGCTTTATGGAAAGTGTAGGATCCAGGTTTTTTTGAGCTTGACCCATACCAGGGACTTAAAGTCAGAATATCTCTGCCTCCACTACACATGAGTGTCCCTTTAATTATAATTTGTGTCATAAGGCATCAACACCCATATTCTCTAAATTAACTGAACATGGCCTTTGATTGTCACAAAAAAATAGACAAAAATCACTACAACAAATTAGATCTTATTACGGGGGTAAAATTTCATTAGGAAACCAAAGTGGGGCAAAAATGAAATATAGATAAAGTCAAAACTCTGATTAAGATAAAATGGAACAGCCCTGGGAGGGTTATTTTTAAGAGGACTGCTTATTTTAGGACATTTGAGTGTGAGACAAAAGCCAAAAGTGAGCAGAGATTAAAGACAAAGGGACACCGTGAAAACAAAAATACACAGATCACCAAATAACTTGTAAACCACAGGGATAACGTGGATAACTGACAACTGCTCACTCTCACATCAATACAGGGTTTCCCAGTGATCTTCCACGGGGTGATGGGGAAAGATGAGAGAGAGGCCAACAGTCCTTCTTTCTTTAATGTGTCTGAGATTGAAGTTCTGGTCGACTACCTCACCAAGCTGATGGAAACTCAGGGAAAGAAGGGTCTCCCCAAACTCTCCGCAAAAGACATTGGCATAATCGCCCCCTACAGGAAACAAGTAAGTCTTCATGGAGGGCATTTGTGTGTGTAGAGACGTGGATAAACAAGTTTTAACTAGTCATCTGTAACGTGTTTACTTTTCTAACAGGTCGAGAAAATCCAAAAGGCCCTGAAGTCCGTGTCCACTCTGAGTCGATGGAATGATCTCACAGAGCTCAAGGTTAGCAATGCTGCTGTAAAAGCACTCCTCTGGATCAGTTAATCTTACCCCAAAGTTGGTGTTCTCATTTAAAGTCTCATCTGCACATTATCAATACAATTAAATTAAAAGATTGTGATCATCTGTTTCCCTCCATGCACAAATGTATTTAATTAATAAAAATAAGCATTTCTCTGTATCAGGTGGGTTCTGTGGAGGAGTTTCAGGGACAAGAAAGGAAGATCATCATGGTCTCTACTGTTCGCAGCAGCGTCAACTATGTCAAGATGGACAAAGACTTCAACATTGGATTTCTGTCAAATGAAAAGGTTTGGTATATCCCTTCCTTGCCATAAAAAAGTGATGATGAAACCAGCACGATCTTTTAATAAGTTTTCTTTAAAACAGTAATGGATTTCATCTTCTTTCTATATTTATGTGTATTTTTCTGCTCTGCAGAGATTCAACGTGGCCATAACCAGGGCCAGGTCCCTGTTGATAGTCGTGGGAAATCCTGTGATCCTCAACAAGGACCCCGCCTGGGAGAAGTAAGTCAAAGCAGGAGTTGTCCAGGGTGTACCCTGCCTTTCGCCCAATGTCAGCTGGGATAGGCTCCAGCCCCCGCGACCCTGTACACAGGATAAGCGGTTGACGATGGATGGATGGATGGATGGATGGGAGACACAAAGTTGTCGGAAAAAACAGCAAGAGTATTGTTTAAGCTGAGTTAAGAGCCTTGTATTGAAACATGATGTGATTGAGATTCAAAGTGCATTCTTGACCTTGGAAACAGCAATTGACAAAACAGTCACACCACAAGGTCTATTTAGTAGCTGTTTTTGTAGCTTTTGACACAGTATTCTCTGCAGATGAAGTTTAGATGTCCAAATTTCCTTTTTATCCCCCCACGTTTGCTCAATTTGGGATTTTTCATTTGCAGGTTCATCAGCTACTGTGTTAAGGAAAAAGGTTACACTGGATTTGACTTTAAAGACGCAGAAGGAGAAGATGATATTGTGTCAAGACTGGCAACCCTGAAAATCAACATGGATTCTGACAGTTAGTACAACCATGACCTCAGTAAACCTTAAACAGATTGCCTTCAAGTCATGCTTGGCTGGATCATTACCAGCTACAGCTGAAATAGTAAAAAGTTGTAATTGCCACTGAACAAAAAATGTATTCAGGCTAATATCACTTGAACAAAGCAGTCATGAAACTTGTGTGTCTTTCTGCATTTGTCATAGATCCTGTAGCAGAGGAGAGTGCCCTCCAGCAGTATGTGGACCCCGAATGGAAAAACGAGCATTAACGTCTCCGCCATTTGCAGTGACATCCTCAAAAGATAATTAGATTTAAGTACATAAAGAGGCATGGCAAGTATCAGTCAACATTGGCATCTATTACAGTAAAACTTAAATTAAGTCAAACCCTAATTAAGAGACATTTACTGGACAGGTACGGCTAAATGTTTTGACGAATAAACGAAGGTCTCAGTTAGATGCTGGGTCTGTTTTTTATAAACAATCAAATAAATAATTTTATAGTATTTCCCATTTCTGCTGTGCAAAAAATGTGTGCAAAAGGAATTAAAGGTGTGTCACAACCTGTCCCAGATATAGGCAGATTGAGTTCAGTGACTGAAGAAAATAAAAGCCCAGGATTTTAATTTAAGTTTTTTGGTATTTAAGAATATATCCTGTTTGATGACAATGCCACAATGAACTAGCGAATGTTTTCTTCTCTTCTTTTCAATTTGTCGGTGACTTTTTAAATAAAGCTTCCATTAGTCGAACGGCAATTAGGATGAACATTGCTGCACATAAGCAATTAATTTTCTCAGTGGGAAACTAAGGAGCAGACTATTCTGTTTCTCAGGAATTCATCACCGTTTGTCTTACTGCTGTTTGCACTTTACAAGTCTCCTTTAAACTCAACTATTCCTTTCTGAATTTAAATACTGAAGAAATAAACTCTTTATGGTTTGATACATATTGCACTTCACTCTGTCATGTCATTATTTTGATTAACCTTTTAACGTTATCATATGCAGTAAACCATATTGAGGTTTTAATTTTCGGACAAGAATTGACCAAGGACGGCGAGTCGGTCTCGTCTCAAAAATAGTTTATTAACAATGTTCATGTTCACTTCAGATCAGACATTCACTACAACACTTTGTTTACAAAGCAATATTACAATGAGCTTTTATATAAATCTGGATCCTTTTGTCATTTCAAATACTTCGAGAAAAAGAAAGAAAAAAGGTTACACAACACTGAGCATAAGCTGTTCCCAAAGGGGGGAGGGGGGTGTATATATAAAGACCCAAGGTTTTCCCATGCATGCATCAACATCAGAAGGACAACTTTTGATTTAGCGCAACATTATCTGCATACACATTAACAGCAGTATTGTACATGCTCTTTGTGATATGTTCAACACTAGAGGCAGCAGAGGGCTGCTGCTCTGAGGGAATGCTTTCATCGTTACGCTGTGCTTCCAGCTGTGAAAGTTATCTGACTATCTCTGCCGACCTCGGTGTTCAGCTTGTTGAGACCCGTGAACATAATGCCACAACTGTGAAACGCATAACTCAAACCTTATGTTTTCACTGATAAAAATCTTCAGTCGTAACGATCTAAATCTCTTTACTCGTGCCTTGTTAGTGTGCTTGTTGTCCACAATAATGCGGCCAGGCAGCAGAGCCAGTCCAAAGTTAAAACATAGTATCCAACCTAGAAAGAGCTGAGGTAACAACATTAATATGGTGCTTGTGTGTGATTGTAATCAATGCCCCCTCTCCACAAAAACACCACCTCAGTTGAGCTGTGGAAAATACAACTAGTTTCTATAAGTTTTAGCTTCTCCACTGGATCACTCAGCTAAAGCGTTATGTGCTTGGTCAGTAGAGGGTATAAAGTTGCATTACAATATATTAGATACAGATCCTGCCAGATGGTAGTTTTATTGCCTTTATTGGCATTATAAGAAGGTTGCATGCAACATCAAAGATATTGTTTTGCCACACACATTTCAGCATCCACCCTGTAGACAGACGGCGACATGCAACCAAGGGACATGTACAGTACACGAATGAGCAACTGAGGCAGAGAAAAGGAATGCCATTAGGAGCCTGAGGACAGTCACTGGGCCTTTTCAAGCGTTGTATATCAAGCCAATATATTTTCAATTCAAATTCACAATTGAGTGTTCTGAGAGGACATGTGAGCAAGAACTGGGACCAGTGGACAGTCTCTGACATGTCTCCAAAAGCTGAATTGTTTGTAGTCCCGCCTGAATTGTACTCTAAAAGTACAATTCAGTGTAGACCCTTGCTGATCTTATGCTCCTTTGACATAAGACATAAAATCAGTCAACATCAATAGCAACATAGATCAGTATAAACATTGACAAATCAACCCAAACTTTCCACAGTCCACAACTTTTTTGGCAGTAATACACAACTCTAAAACCTCAAAGACACTCTTTATTGCTCCCGACAGATGTTTTCCCAGTGATGTTGAGGAAATATGTTACGTCAAACATGTTATGAGAAAGTTTTGTCTTTCCCCATGATTCATCCTAGAAGCAAACCTACTGTACAGGTAAAGTTATCTGCCAAGAAAAATAAAAGATTGCATTTATAGATACTATGTGTTACAATTTGTATTATGAGGGCTAACAAAACATTATGTGTAATCAAGCCTATTTTGGAACCAATTCAAAGAACCAAGCTTTGTGAGACATGTCAGAAAGGTCACTCTTTGATCTTGTCAGTCAGTATCAGGTTGGCATAGAGCAGCTGGTCTATCTGGTTTGCGAAAGAACAACCGAAAGGCACACCAGAACAGAGAAGGCACCGGGGGAATACAGACTCCTCACACACAACTCAGCTTCTCTCAAACGTGAAGAATGTCGCCCGACTGGAAACATCCGCACGCAAAGGCTAACAGCTCTGACAAGACATGATTTCCACAACTGGGCTGACCCGTAAAATCCACAGATTCCAACAGCAGGCGTAACCGGCTCGCTTGCATTGCAGCAGAACAGCTGAACTCAAGTCACTCACAACAAACAAACAAACAAACAAACAGGGGAGGATTTACCAGGTTTACCCTGTTGGTCCTAACAGCCTTTGTGCATAGTTGAGTTATATTGGCTTGTGTCTTGATTGGCCAGTTCTAATCTGCCCATCTTAGTCCCTTGCACATATTTGAGTTATGTTGTGAGGGATGCCTTTAAATAATCAGATTTTATACTCCCTCCCTCCTTTATTGGCCACATTTATCACATTACAAAGGCAGCTACCGTCTTCAGCTAACTGTAGTGAGTATGGCAAATGTTGAGGGTACAATGATGTTTCATGCCAATAAAAAGGACACAAGCAACCAGTTGTCAACAGCACTGAAAGCCTTAGTTACGGCATTGCTCTGGTGTCACAATGACAACGCTGTGTAAAATCAGCTACAGTACAATGGGAAACCCCTCAGCTGAAATGTTAGCTTGCTGACAATCACGAGAAATAGACGCTGGTGTCTAAAACTAAACAAAAGGCACTAGCTCTTAGCTAGCTAGATCTAGTCAAAATATATCAACTTTCATTCTATACTGCGACTGCTACCATGATAAACAAAACCGATACTAACAGGATAGTCAGACAAGACCTTACTCATTAAGTCTTTATACAAGCTAAGAAGGATACTGCTCGCCCAAGCTCATGAAGAACAATATTGCATACAAATATGTGCATCTTTTACTGCCTCATTACATTACAAATATAAAGAAAAACAAAGAGGAAAACATTCTGTGTAAAGAGAGATTCTGTGGGGAAAAAAGCAAATCAACAATGAACGTTAAACATCAATTTTTTAACAGAGCTGTAATATAGACAAAGTCCATTTCCTGTATTAGGTTTGTTTGTGTTCGATTGATCTGCCTGCCTGTTATCGTGAAATGCGAGATACAGTACAAAGATGCCATTTGGTAAAAGGTCAGTCCTTTTTTGTGTATTTTGTTTTTCTCCTATTGGTCAGTGGATTTTATGGCGTCTAAGCTGCTCACAGCAGCGTGCAGCCGCTTCTCTTCTTGCGCTTGCGGACCTGCAGCGCCGCTCTAGTGGCCATCTCGAACACTTCGCGCACGCCGTCCTTGGTCTTGGCAGAGCACTCCAAGTAGCCAAAAGCACTGATCCTGTTGGCCATGTCTCTGCCTTCTTCTGCCTTCACCGGCTCCTGCGTGGTAAGATGAGAGTGTTAGGGACAATATGAAAATTATCAGCAGGAAAGAGCATTTAGAAAAGGGCCTGTCTACATCATCTTGAAATGATGACAAATTTATCTAATAGATAAAACTAAGAAGCCTCAAGTACACTACTTCACTTACCGTCCCAGTCACACCATAGCTTACACATGTTGAGGCAATACTGTCTATGTGACCATGTAAAATCTAAAACACTTGAATTGATGACTTAGTACTACTCTTTGTCAAATGGTTCCTACAGAAAGGAAAAGCTGACAGTGGCCGTCTGAACGAGCTGGAGAGCTTTGTCAACATGTTCCTATTATCAGCTGGACCTGGAGACAGACAGAGACAGAGCCATAGTGGCGTGCTGTGCCATTCTGCGACACAGTAAACCAATACGTTGCGGTCATTATCCTATGACTGAAAGGCCACTAACAGCCTTTTCAGAGCTGTCATTGTTTGTTTCCCGGGAGAAGTTAACTTTCAGTGACAGACAGGTAAAAAAAATGAAAAGGGAGAGAATGAGAGATTTCTTTTCAATTAATATTCCATCTCTCTTTGGCTTTTTCCTATTTTCGAAAATTGCTCAACATCTTCTCTGATCAATGTTTTTCATATATCATCTATTGCATGTCCCTTTTTTTGTTGTTGTTCTTCCTTTGTGAGAGATATATACAAAAATTTAAGCTGGCTTAACTTCCACTGCACCATCCAAAAGTACACATGCATGTAACAAGCCAATTGGCTTGTTACATGCATGCGCACTTTCCTGGTAGATTAGTTTTTAATATTACCAGCATATTGTTACTGTTTAACAAAGCAATTCTTCAAATTTATGGGTGTTACTCAAACTGGCCCTCCTTCATTAAGTTGTAGTTCAACGAAATTGCCCCACATTCAGCCCTGAAAAAGGACATGAAGTTATGGTTCCCATGTGGTGAAAAAATATTTATAATTATAATACTACATTTTATTTATAGGCGCCTTTCGGGACACTCAAGGTCACCTCACAAAACATAATAAAACACTACAGCAATAATGGATAAAATTAACAACAACTATAATTACAGTGCATGAAATCAGGGTAAAAAAAACTGGAAACAAAGATTGAGAAAGAGTGATCATTATCACATAGAAAGAATGATCATGTTGAGCAAAGGAATCAAAAACTGTAAACTGTCTGTGGTGCGATGCTGTAGTTTGTAGTCTAGCAGTGTAATGAACTTACTAAATATGGCGAGGCTTCAATTTGTGTGACAAGCAGGATTCAATAGTGAACAAATATTCTGTAATATAAGTATAATGTGACCATAGCTTTACCGGTACCTGAGGCAACATGCCAACAAAGCAGCCCCTTGCGCCTTTTTAATAGTTTAATAGTGCTGTTGTTACTCCTGGTTAAGCAATATTTGTCATGAATATGTACATAAATAATTCAGACTGAACCTCACAAACTGGACCTCATGAAATGTTCCTCAGGACTTTGGTGCCTGAGTACCAAAGAGGTGTCTTATTGTGCCTGATCCACAGTTCATTGACCTTCAGAGGCTTTTGTACCTGCTTCATCTTGGCCAGCTCTCTCCGTGTGTGCTCATCATTCCTCAGGTCCTTCTTGTTCCCCACCAGAATGATGGGAACATTGGGACAGAAGTGCTTCACCTCAGGCGTCCACTTCTCTGGGATATTTTCTGTCCCAGGAGAAACAAGAAGTGAGCTGAAACACTTGTGAGAGGAGGGGGTGACTATAAAAAGGGACAGGCAGTGCAGAGTCACGGTGCAGAACACGTCTCATGATGGATTGCTCTGCAGATTGCTCGAGGCAAAGATTTTTTTTAGTTGCACTAATTCTACTTCCGCATCAAGTCTTTTATACATGTGTTTTTATTATTTGATCATATTAGTCACTTTTCTGTGCTGCTGCCGTCCCAGCTAAACTAATTTGTTTAAATATGGGCTATACAAAGATAATTGTTTCACAATAGGCTTCTGTATGTCAGCAGTTCCTTACCTAAACTGTCTGGGCTGTCGATGGAGAAGCACATGAGGATAACATCTGTGTCAGGGTAGGAGAGAGGCCTCAACCTGTCGTAGTCCTCTTGGCCTGCAGTATCCCACAGTGCCAACTCCACCTGGGAGAAATCACGAGAAAAGCAATTATCTTGATTTTGGAAGAGTGAATCTCCTGTCACCCCTTATTTTCTCCATGATTCATTAATTCTCGTCATTCACGACAACTTTTCTTAAGGGCTAAAAATTAAAATTAGTTGTCTACCCAGAATGGTCGTAATGTTTCTCACTGTTCCGGATAATTACACAAACAAACAATGAACCAGCCACAACATCATTAGCGATGACGTTTCTTTTCTAGTCCACTGAGAGCCGTGACTATTTGGAGTATGACGAGTGTGAACCTTGAGGCATGTGGCCATTAAATACCAAGAAGTATATATTTTTTTTAAGTTTTAAACATTACTTAACCTCGGGACATTTTTCTCCTAACCCTAACCCTGAACCCTAACCCTCTCTGACATACCTTGCAACTTGATCATATCTTATGATTTGTATCTTTTACCTAAGATGCTTCCCACGTTTGAGGGGAATTCAGTGTTTACATATTTGCTTCTCATCACCACTGCAGCTCTGATCTAATCAGCTTCATAAGTCTGTTATGTTGTCAGTATTGTGGAAATGAACTCAGGGAATGGTCTCATCCCATCACACCACTGATTAATTCAATTAGGGAAAGTGGGAGATTAGCAAGCGTCAAGCCAGATACCTTCTGTCCCTGTACAGGCATCAACAGCCAGTCTTCACTCAACTCTGCTCTTTAGCCGGCTCACTGTGTTCGGGGGAGGTGGGGGAAGACTTCTGCAAAGTTTTAAATATCGGAACTTTGCTGAATGACAATAAATTCTGGTATGCCCACAGAGAGCACAAGCATCAGTCAACGGTCCCAAAATAGAGGTTTGCAGAGGCAGAGGGTGGGAGGCGGCTGCACACTGTTGAGATTGCATGAGCAGCCGGGGCGGTTATGTTCCCACTGGACATGTTCTAAGCTGTAGACTTTGGGGAGGAAAGAAAGGAGGGAAAAAACAGCTATTTTTAGAGTCTTCCAAGTGCACAGTAGGTGAGAGAACGAAAATGTTTTTACCCTTGTGTGTTAGGGCTGAGAACACAATCCAGCTGGTTGTATAATGGCCCAATTCTTATGGGGGCGGCCATCTTCTCGAAAGCTGCAGAAGGGCCGACACTCATCTATTTACCAAAATGATCCCCCTCTAGGCTGATGTCCGTCATGGATCCCTAACTTTATACTTCCTGTCCTGAACACAACAGTTAACCCCTAACTGCCTCCCAGCATCTAAGTGTCACCAGAAAAGGAAATGAAAGGAGTTTATCAGGCAGACGGAGGAGGAGAAGAGGAGGTGGAGGGTCCTGAAGTGAGGAGGGGGATTGCCAGGAGACATCCCCGTTCCCTGTTTGAACAGGAAGCTGGGAAATAGAGTCATTTCCTGTTTTGCCAAGTGGTGATCCCGCAGCAGTGGTCAGCTTAAGAGAACAAAACCCTTTGACATAATGAGTCATCTTACAGGCTCAGACTCAACCCTAACTGACCAACTCCCCATGACTCAGATTCAAGACGCTAGTAAGACTTTAATGTAGCTCGTTTCAAAACTCATGCCACGCCTGAAATAACTACATATTTACAATATAGTGCACTTTATTTGCTGCTCTTATTTAACATGCTGTTACTACTTACACCTAATCCAGCACTACTTCCAAGGCCAAGGAGCATTTCATACTACATTATTTTGTGGGGTTATGATTACTATTTTAATAAAGCCTCACTTACTATAGCACTGTGTCGTATTTCCCCACTGTGTGGAAGCTGGTCCTGGATGTAATCAGTTATAACAGGGTTGTACTGCTGTATAATGGCTTTGGGGAAGTTTACACTCCAGCAACACCTAGCCAAAATGACTTGTGATGCCAAACTGATCTTTTATACATAAAATGGTAAAAGGGAAAACTGAAAATAGAAACAGGAAAGTAGGAATTTGCCTCTTTATGTGTATGTGTAAGTATATAAGCAGCCAAACAATGGTAGAATAAAATAACAGTTTGATTTTGCATTTTTCCTTAAACATAATACTGGGACTAGCCAGCTCTACACTGCAACAATGTTGTTTCTGTATTTCCACATCTTCTACATGGATCACGAAATGGCGAGGAAACTGATTCTTTGCCTGGGACATGCAGCCTGTCTTTTAGCATGACATCATATATGTAGTCATCAAATGCATATTTATAACTTTTTTCTTTTCATTTTTTAGAAGCTTCTTTTTTAAAAATGAGTCAGTTTGACAGTTTTCAAACTCGTGGAGTGAAACACTGCTTTTGTCTACTTCAAGAACCCATTGTTTCAAACATTACAAAGAATTTCAAGTGGTAAGTCTGCCACCCGTAACATTTTAAACTTTTATGTGCTTTGCGACAATGACAAGAGTAGCAACAGTTACTGGGATGGGGCTTATTGAACGGTCAATTATGACAGTGTTAGTTTATTTCTACAACAGACGCAACTACTTCTGGACTGCCTATTTGGGTGTCAAATGTACAAACCTGCTTTCCATCAACCTCAATATCAGCGATATAGTTCTCAAACACTGTTGGAACGTAGACTTCAGGAAACTGGTCTTTACTGAAGACAATGAGAAGACATGTTTTCCCACAAGCTCCATCCCCGACGATCACAAGCTTCTTCCGAATGGCAGCCATCTCTGTTGGGAAAAGAGGAGGTGTTTTAAGAGGTTGTCACAAACAGACATACCCCAAAAAGAGAGTTGAGTGTCAAAATTATCAGCAGTACCACAAAAGAAACTTTTTTGCATTATGGTAGATTTCACTTGTCATGCTGCAAGAACCAGCCAAACAACACTTTGTCATCCGTTTTTGTATTTCACGCTACAGATATTTAAATTATTTGAAGAGATCACAGGAACACAAGATTAAAATGAAGAACGGAGTGTTGTACAACCATTATTTCTGCTCATGCTGTGTGGCTCCAAAGCGACCACTCTGTCATAGCTGCATCACATTTCACCTAAGGGAGTGCTCCTTGATCTGCACGTTGTCACAGACAACTGCAGTCACAGACCTTGAATCCCCAATGCCAAATCTAGACTTCATAGCTACACAAGGAGAAGGAGGAAGATAGTGGAGTGATGGGGGAGAGAAAAGGGGTGGGGGGTTGAGACAAGCTGGGACATGAAGAAATGTTTCATCAGGCCCTGTTTGTTTCCCTCTGCAATGTGTGTGGAGTTTCCAAGAAATCAAAGCAGCTGAAGAAGTACTTAAAGGAGTCCTAAGGCATTCAAAACACTACCCTTCTTTTGTTCTCTTCAGATCTTTCTTCACTTCTCTTCAGGAATACTCTGATTGTAGACACTAATTATTTTGAAATTACTTGGCATAAAAAAGAACAAGAGCCAAATCTGCCAGCCCATGTGTTGTTCCAGTGTTAAGCTGTAATTACTTACAGGGTTTGCTGTGAGCATGTGTAGCAAACTGCAGAAAAAGAAAACACCATGCAAGCATTTCCCACCAAAATAAAACGACGTGAGAAATAAATAAAACGACGTAAGATGGATGCTGGGGTCACATTTTACAAGTGAGCTTCAGGCCTGCAAGGACGAAGCTTTGCTGGTGTCCTGTGCACAACTGTACATTACAATCCACTAAACCAACTGAACCAAGAAACATTTCTGTAATAACCCCAGACGAGAGGACTGGTGTAGTTGGCGCAGCGTATGTGGGGATGAGTTAGCAGTGTAGCTGATGGATGAGCTGGAGCCCCGCTGCCTGGGAGCAGCTGTGCATATAGTCATTTGGCTCCTCACCTCATCCACTTTCTGCCAGACAGTCTTGACAGCAATCCTCTTCACGAGGGCACCCACTTATCAGGGAAAATTAATCTTTTAGTGCTGCTGGCAAAACTTTTGAGGTGAGTCTGCCCCCAACGTCCACTTTTAATCTCTGCTTGGGTGCATAGCAACAGCAAACCTTTCAGGAAGTAGCATCAAATCATAAAAAGTCATCACAAACACAGACTGAAATTATTAGTACAATTGTTGGTTTGGTACCATAAGAGATCAGCAGATTGGTGGCACCAGTTTAATCTTCTTAAAGCTAATACCTGTCAATGTTTGCAAAGTCTAAAGAGCTCCAAACATACACATTCTAATTAAGTCAATGAAGAAAATTAATATAAAAATGTTGTATGAATAAATGGGTTGGGTTGCAAAGTAAACAAAGAAAGCCAGTAAAGAGTAAAATGAAAGAAAAAAGGACACAAGAGGAGGAATAATTAATAAGTCCTGTTTCCATGGATATTTGGACTAACCAGTAGCCCTACTGGAAACTTAGGGTGTGTTTGCTTGTTTGACAGTTTTATTAACATCCTAGGTTACTCGTTCCTTCTTAGGGAAATTCTGGTCATGGTTTTTTACATTTTCTTCCTTTTGCCCAAAGGCCCACTCCCTCTGCTGCAGTGTGTTCAGTTACAGGTTTAGCAGAGAGATGCCAAAGATGTTTGAATTTAGGCCACTGTAGCAAATACAGGTAGTGTGCTCACTCCTGTAATTTCCACAAGTAAGCAAATCTTCTGAATACACCGTACATTGATGACCAAAAGTCAACATTCACTTCAGCTGCAGTTGCAAATCCTTCGTCAGATATGAGATTATAACAAAAAACTGAATTTTTAATGAGAACAGAGGCTGCTTCCACTTTTCTTCTGCATGTGGGTTTGATACCGGGCTAAATATTGATTCCAGAGAAGCTGCACATTATATTTTGATTTCCAGAGATTGCCAAATGGACCAGAGACGAACTAGATGATGGGTTCAAAGCCAAAAAAGTGAGAGACAGCAGCACCGAGGCCTGGGAGCATAGACTGTATAACAAAACAATCCACTTCCTGTTCTGTGAAGCCTGGGAGGAGCTTTTGGCTGCAGTTGTGTTTGGACAGGCCTCAGCAGAGACATGGCGAGGGCAGCCAGAGGCAATGTAACACAAGCAAGCATGCACGCACACATGCGTACTCACATACACATGCACACACCCTCTTTGCACTACACAATGATAGCTCGTCCTTAGTGGCAGTGCTATTGAGAGCCGATGAAGGAACATCTTCAGACACATTGGCAAAAGGAAAGGTCCCATAAAGTCACAAACTGTGCAGAATACTCTACCTATGACTGATGCCCTCAATTTAGGCACTAATGGACACTAATGACAGCAACAACTGAGGAGGAGGTAGTGGAAGATTTCACTACTGTTGTCATCCATATCAAGCCTTTTTATTATGTTTCAGCTAGCATTCATTCTCTCCACATTCATATCAAAACCTTATCTCACCCTAATTCAATCACATGTGAATGGGAACCACTTATCTGTAACTGGTACCAGATGGCTGACCTTTGACCTCCACACTACTGAATAAAAGCAAAAAGGTGTCACTGAGAGATCAACAGTCCCCATGAAAGCTGCAAGAAAAGCAGAAATAGTTCAACATCATTCTGTCAGCCCTACATAATCATCACTCAGTGCAGGGTGCAGACATTTTCATTTACCTGTCACTGGGACACAACACAACTGAGATTTATCCAGTGGAGCAAACATCAAGAACATATTCATAAAGCCTTCGATCATTCGGAGGTTGACTGAGGACCAACAATAACTTTGCAGGTTATACATCATATAGACATTCTGTAGACAAAGCATGAATATGAACAAACAAAAATAATACTGAACTCGCAGAACTTTAGTTAATTAGTCTGTTAGCCCAGGTTGTATTTATTGTAATTAAAGCCTATGTTTTATCTCTTATGACTGCACTAAGTTATGACAAGCTGATGAACAAATATGCATCCTGATACAGTGATCTGAGCAGTTTATTTTAGTAATCTATTAGCATCCTTCCTCCCAATCTTCTGGCAGTGGTTCCAATATTTATTTAAATGAGGACAGACCTGTGATGCAGCAGGGGTGCCAATGTACCCTCCAGCTAAAGAAATGCAGGGTCGTCCTGTAAAAAGTTGAACTTGGCTCCAGTTTTGTCACAACGCAATGCTACGTCATGGCCAATCACATTCACATTCATGCAAGCCCGACGGTTGATAAAATCATTTCCATTGTGATAACTTTCCAGAATTGTAAAATAATTGCAAAGATTAAAGAGAAAACTAATCATAACCACCACCTTTATTCTTTTTATTCTTCACGAGACTACACACATTTAGGTTGTGATTCCACAGAGGGACCCCGACCCACAAACAAGTGTTCTAAAATTATACCTTATAATGACATTCTTAAAAGTATTAGTTCAACACAGAAAAACACTCTTGTTGCCTTTCTCGACGAAAGTCCAGTACAGTAAGTATGGAGCTACCTCCAGTAGCTGGTTAGCTTAGCTTAGTATAAAGACTGTAAACAGGGGGAAAAGGCTAGCTTGGATGTGTCCATCTACTGAGACAGTCAGTCCCAAACTTGCCAAACGTGTTTCTCATTCGTGTAGCCTCTCGTAGGCTACTTCAGGTTTTGAACTGTCAATAAATTGAAGATGTCAGCTTGTGATCAAGGAAACTGTTGGGAACATTTTTCACTATTTTTTGGGTGTTTTATTGACGATAAAAAATAAAAAAGAATCCACAAATTTATTCATTATGGTATTATTCATAATAGTAAATAACATTTTCGGGCCAAATGAAGCTTATCACGTGGGTTCACTGTGTTGTTATGCAATGTAGATAACGTGTAAAGGGAATACTCTCAGACACTGGAAAACATACACAAAACCTGATCCAAACACAACACAAGAAGCCATTAAAAGGACATATGAAAGCAAAACACCATTACTTCCTACAACTATTTGAGCAATGCCCTAGGTTAATGAACACACCACCTCTCTTTGTCTTTAAGGAGGTTTCCTAAGGCTTAGGGGCCAACAGGAGTTATGCAACAAACTGAGCAGAGTGTGCACAAAGCAAAGCTTGACCCTGGCCAATGAGGTACAGCTGCCTTTCAATCCTCATATGAGTTTTAACAACAATGCTGAACCAATATAAAAGGTTTGTTGTTTCTGGGATGATGACTTTTTTTTTGTTTGTTCTGGAGGTCCCGCAAACAAGCAAACGCATTACAGGAAATGAACCAGAGTATGATTGCTTTGCCTGTCTAACAGGCTTCCCAGGGCTGCACCTCTTTCTATGATACACTACAAGAAAGCTACAGTTACAGAGCAGCTGATTTCAACGTTGAAAAGTTATTTCCTCGTGTTGCCATTACACACGAGTTGTCAAGGAGCTCAAATCAAACTCTGGTTGTAAAAAGAGCAATAAAACCAGGGCTGGATTTTAACTTTGTCAGTTTGACAGATAAACATTCACCCAGAGATTACAAGTCTAGCCTAAATCTCTGTGGAACAATGCAAAACCTATTTTACTACAGAATAAAAATGACTTTTAATGTTATTCAGGGATACGAATTTTACAGGAATGCCTTCCAGCATCTTTGGCAACAACAACTCATTTCTAATAAGTATAGCTATTTACAATTATGGTTTTTCCTCAAGAGACACAAGCTAACACGTTGTTGTGTTGTTATTAAAAACAAAAAACAACTTTAGATCTGAAGGCACACAAGAATATGCCTCACCTCTGCCAGTCTGTCTGTCTGAGAAAGTTCATAAACTGGCAGTGGCTGAGACAGAACAGGCAGCCTGCGACTCTGGCCGTCTATGCCACCTTAACCTGATGGAAAAACATCTTACAAACTCTGACAGGATGCAACAGACATCACATGCAAGAACAGACGTTGGTTGACAACTCAAAGACTAATCTTACAAGAAAGCTTTAGGCTTCAGTTCAAGCATATATGGGTACAATGTAAAGATTCCTGAGTATAAGCTGTGGACTCAAGTGCATGAAGTTGAAATGTGAATACTGAGCCCTTTTGCAACAGCAGGAATATACACAGCAGATCAGGTCAGCCCCTCACATTCTTTGGGGCGTTTGTTAAAGACACACCAGCTCCTTAGTCTCAGTGAGTCATGACTTTACTGGTACACCCAAGGAAATTATTGTATTAAGCAAAAAAAAAAAAAAAAGAAACAGAAAACAATTTAAATTTCTCATATGCCAAACTGAAAGTAAAAGGAACTTAAAATAGATTATTATTATATATTAAATAAAATGTTTATATTTAATAAACAGTTCAACATTTTGGGAAATACACTTATTTACTTTCTTGCTCAGTCAGTTAGCTTAGCTTAGCATCCAGCTCTTTTAATACTAATAATAATCCATGATAACCTGCCATAAAACATCTGTTTTTACAGTTCAGGTTTGAACAGATTGAACAAACAAAATACAAAGCGTTAATTAGTGAGCTTTACAGATACTGGTAGGAGGGTTTTGTGATGTTTGGACAGAGGCAGACTAGTTGTTTCCCCTCTGTTTACAGTCTAATCACGGCCTAGGCTGGCCATTTTGAAATTAATGACCCGCAGCCTGGTCACTTTCATGGCTTCGGTCATGCAGCCATGAATTTATAAATACACAAGGAAGACACTCGCAGATACTCCTGTTCTTAAAGGCTATTGAGAGGAAGTAGGGCAAGGCAAAACATGAGAGTGGAGTCAGCTGGTGGCATCCAGGGCGTGATGATCAAACTCAAAAGACAGAGGCTGGGGATGCAACGCATGGAGAGAACTGAAACCATGACTCACTCACTTCTGTTCAATAACTCAGGTGATAAGCAGACAGCAAACAGGGCCGGTTGGCTGCCCAAGAAGACTCCACCAGAAGCAGCAGACGATTTCCTCTAAGGCTGCAACTAATGATTCTTTTCACTATCGATTTACCTGCAGATTATTTTCTTTATAAATCTATTAATCATTTGATTTATATTGTCAGAAAATAGTTTAAAATGACCATCACCACTGTCACCAGTGTTAAAACTGCTTGTTTTGTCTGACCAGGGGTCCAAAAGCCAAAAATATTCAGTTTACTATCATAGGCGACAAAAATCAACGGCAATTTTTCACATTTGAGAAGCTGAAGCCAGTAGATTTGTAGCATATTTACACCCCCAAAACAACAGTTAATAATTCATAAAAATTGATTCTGTTGATCCACTAATTGGTTCAGCTCTAAACTAGTCTATACAAGTGATAAAACTATCAGTCAATTAATGGGTTTGTTGATCACACAAACAACTTGGACAAACCAAACCTTTTGAAGACATGTTCTAGTCCAACCAATTAATCAAAAAACATTCAACAGATCAATCGATAGTGATAACTGTAAGATGCAGCCCTAATATATAAACAGCCACACATTTAGAAGACAATTAATAGTGTGTAGTTGAACACAGTGATGAAATGTATTTTAAACACATACATTTGAGAATATAAAAATACAAATTACCCAAATTTCAGGGCTGCACCTATGTTTGTTATTTATTATTCAGTCAAGTCAGTTATTGTGATAGATTGTCCCCAAAATTACAATCACAGTTTCACAAATCTTGGAGTTTGACATCTTTAAAATCTCTATTATCAAACGTAGTTCAAAATGATCTTCTTAATTTTCTGTCTTTTGACTAGTCGATTAATTAACTATAGTTGTTTTCAGCACTTGTACTTTTGCTGTCAACATCTTTCTGCATCTGTATCAAGAATATATTTTTGCATGAATGCCACATGTTTGTTGATTTTCCCAACACATGTGAACACATTCAGGAGGACAATTAAAATATTTAATCATTTCATGTGAATCTCAGAAGTTGTCATGAATGAGACCTTCTCATTAAAAAACCCTGGATGAGTTGAGCCACGTTCATTCAGATCTTTCTTTTGACACAATTAAAGCAAACTTGTGCGTGCTCACCCAGGCTCTCAAATTTCACCCTCCACATGTTTTGTTGTGTTCGGGAAATCGTGTTTGGCAGCTGAAACAACGCCCTCTAAGAAAAGGGAGTCTTAATAAAGAGGACATTAAGTGTTCCCAGGAATAGAAATGGCTCATTAGGAGATTTGCCATGCGGAGTTGCTTATTGAGGTCGCAGCAGTTGGACAGATTGTACATGCCAGCAGGATCTGATCTGCTTGCTTTGACTTTGAAACTAACAACAACGAAGCTATCAACAGTTGTACAGAAAGACGCCCTGACAACTACAGCCACACTGGGTACACTTCAATATAATCTCCGCACTGTCTGGGATTTAACTACCACCTAAGCAGGAAAAAGGTGAATGTTAGTATGAGGACAAGCCACCACCTTGATCTCGCACCCAAGTAAGTGAGCTATAATTAGACTGTCGACTTGTGTCAAATGACAATATGTAACGTTAGTCAAACTAACGTTACAGCCTCCGTTTCATATTTACCTGTCACCAGCCAGATGAGAGGTTTTTATAAATATTAATCCCCGCTTGCTCTTCCTCTTGATCGTGACACACACAAACGCACACACACACTTCTTGCTGCAGTATTCGCTAATTTCACAGAGAGGGTGCTGAGAAACGGGGCAGGCGAGCAAGATCCTCCCATCGCCACCAGCGACAAGCTAACAGACAAGCACTTCCGTTTGAGGCTTTCAAAATAAAATAGTTAAAATCAAGGTAGTTTATCACATTACAACCATAGACTGTATAAAAACACAAGGCTGTATAATGAAAAGACATTTGTAGTCAGAACTACAACATATAATCAGATGAAGGTCTATTCATATACTATAACATATGGAATCAATAAAACACATTAAAACTAAATAAAGAGTTATTTATATACATACATAGGTTTATACATCCACTTTGACTGTGTTTGCGCACAGTCTATGTGTAAAACACAGAGTCTCATCTTGCCAGAGCAGTCATCTTGTCAATACCTCATTCTCTTTCTCTTTACATTTTTGTCTTGCTTTACCAATTTTTTTTCTTGTTTTGCACTTCCCCTCTCCCCCAAACACACACACGCACACAGTCACACAGACACACACTTTGCTATTTTTTGTTCAGTTCATTATTTTATTTAAACATATTTATGTGAATAGAGGGGAAAGTTAAATAAAAAACAATAAGTAGCCTACAGCTCACCATAGCCTTCCTCCCAAGGGGGCTCCTCATATGATTTAGAATTAGTTTTTTTATGGATAGAAAATGGTGACTGTAACTGTGGCCTGTACTAACTGTAGTTAGTTAGCTCAGAGCCTCCTACAGTCATACCCGAGTTTTGGGAGGAAAACAGTAATACGTTAAGGACATATTACACTACACCGACACACGTAGGACCGTGAAACTCACTCACCTGGGCACACTATTATTTTTATCATTTTAAAATGACATACGAATGTGTCTAGAAATCTGATTATTTTAAAAATGATTGACACAGAAATTTGAGACAAAATCAAAAATGTTAAGTCAATAAACAATTTATTGTCTTTTTTCTTTTTATTCACTTACTAAAGGGAATTAGGCGCAATATCATTAAGGCTGGATTAACAAACAGGTCCCAAAGGTGTGTGCGAGATGTTTTTTGTATTTTGATTATTTGCAAATAATCAAAATAAAACACTTAATTACAATATCAACTGGGTCATCCATTAGGCTACATAATCTTGTGGCCTTGTGTTGTTGAAGGGCCATGTGTCAAAAGCACTGGCGCATTATTTGATGTCACAGAAGGTGTTTTAAATAAGCTGTCAAAGGAAAAAAAAACACCTGCTATGATATTATCAATATTATTTCATTTTAGATATTGAAATAATTATAATTATTTTGATTTGTGCACTCATATACTATACTTGCACAATGTTTCCCCCTTATTTTGAAAGCTATTGGTTGTGCTTCCGTGCTTTTATGGTTACTTGTAACTAACTTGACAGAGCTGCTGCAGCCGCTGGAGTCGCCCAGGTCCCTCCTCCCCTCCCCGGTCAAAGATGACATCATCCGTAGTAAGACTCGTGCAACAGGAGGGATGGGTGTGGATCTCACCACTGTAGCCCTGTGAACACCCCCCCCCCCCATTATCTACATATCTGAACAGACAGACAGACAGTCACTTCCTGCAGGCTGTCAAGTGTGTTAAGTATAGTAAATTGTCTCAAGTCCTGTAGTTAAGTACACATTTAAAGCTTTTGTATTATGCTGATTAGATGTTTGCTGTGGTTTGATTGGAGCTATTCAGGGATTAATGTATGTATGTAATGCAAGTATTAAGTGAAATGATAAAGGTTCTCGCTCCTTTTCTTTCTTCCCTTTTCTCTTTTCATAGACCTGTGTGCCATGGAACAAAAATGTTTAGACTATAATTTTATTTGATTTGTTTTACCTAAGATAACTGTTATCTTACACTGTTATGCCTGTGTATCAATATTGATCTTGCATCAATAATATATTGTATTCTTCCCATTCCCTGCTGTATCAAATTCTAACTGTTGATGAAACCATAAAGAAAACATAATAAATTGTTTAAAAGAAAGAACAATTAATGGTTCCCTGTGGAGTTAATTGAATTGTAGTAGTGGGGTGATGCAATACATAATTCTGTTCATGACTTCACACTATTTCACTTTTCAGCAGCAAACAAAGGCAGGGAAGAAGAAGACTACTAGCAAGTAAATGTGGATGTGAAGAATGCTGGATTTAAGATATTAAAAAAATCAGCTTTGCAAATGTTTTAGCAAGGAAATGTAGTCAGCTCATTTGTTAGAACTCAAGGATACACACAATGTGTTTAGGTGAATAACACTAAATGCAAACAAAGCTCCACAGGCAGGCCCATGCTGAACCACCTAATGGAAAGAAAACTAACAGGAGAGTGAGGTCTGTCTGTACACACTATTGCATTCCTGAGAAAAGGTCTAATCAAGCAAAAGTGAAAACACCTTTGTGGGTGGACAATAGTTGCCTTTAAAAATATAACATATATATACAAATATAACAACAATATGAACCAGTTAAAATTAACTGCTAATTACCAAAAAAATAATGCTTATAATTTGCTAGTAATATTTTATTACTTATTTAGTCAAGTAAAGTTTGGAATGGAAGTATATGGTATGGTATATTTATATAATGGCGTTACCAGGAGTGTGAATGTGGGTGTGAGTGGTTGTTTGTTTCTATTTGTCCTGTGATGGGCTCGCGACATGTCCAAGGTGTACCCCGCCTCTTGCCCAATGTCAGCTGGGATTGGCCCCTGTCCACCACGACCCTGCACGGATAAATGAGTATAGATAATGGATGGATCGATGGTATTACCAGTAAGTAAAGTATCTCAGATGTTCACACCCTATAGTTAGTTTACACAATGACCATAAATGTCTGTAAATTCCATTTTCCTTGTAAAATCTCAAAAAACATACTTAACATTGTCTCATGTGCTTTGATCCTTTAAAAACGTCACTTTAAAACATTTATACATGTTTTAGAAACGTTTATACATACTTTGCCTCCTAAGATACAATATAAACATACAGAGGAATTCCACTCTTGGGAAAGTATGTCTTTAGATAACTCTGTGCTTCAATAGCAACTCCTAACGATCATGATGGCGTCAGAAGATTTAGAAGCTGGACTTTCCTCTTAGTCAAACAGTGGAATTATCAGTGACAGGCTCTTTGAACTCTTCTGACTCATAAGTTGGCCACACCAAAGATTTATTTCCTTTTGAGAAAAATATGGTCAGCGTCACAAGAGTGTAAACAAACAAGTTCCAAGCAAATGGGAAAAATCAGATTTATTTCTAAACTCGTACACATTATCCCTCTACCTCACATTTTGGTAGCTCATATTCTAGGACACACCATCTCTCTAAACAAACTGCAATGGATAGAAACATAAAAATAAAACTTCTGATACTGCTTACAACCACAGTTGTATTCAAAAATATATGGATAATCTAAATAAACATGACATACCAAAAATGGTACCAAAGAGGTATACAGTACATTTAAGGGCACACAATGTTCTTTGCCACTTCTTCTACAAGGATCAAATTTAGTGCATCGGACAAAAAAAACTCTCGAGTCCCTTTCACCTCTCAATAAGGCATATGTGTGAAGTTTATCACATCTTACTATACCGAGAACAAATAACTTTCTCCTACTAAGGTTAAACAATGAAAACATGTAGTTAAATTAAACAAATGATCCTGTTCCTTCATGTTGTTTTTAAAATGTGTTTTAAAGAACACAAGTATAAACTTCTGTTCTCTTCACTGTAATGGCAAAAAAATATCACATTCAATAGAAATATGTCACAAGTCAACAGGCTACCACAGAGCGTGTGCAACAATGCCTAAGGTGTAGAGCTGCAACCAATAGCCGATTAATCAATTCGTTGTCAACTATTAAATTAATTGCCAACTATTATGATAATCAATTAATAGCTTTGAGACCTTTTTTAAAGAAAAAAACGAAAAAGAAAACATTTTCTGATTTCAGCTTTTCAAATGTACACATTTTCTGGTTTCTTTACTTCTCTATGACAGTAAACTGAATATATTTGGGTTGTCAACAAAAGGAGACATTTGAGGGCATCCCCTTGGGCTTTGGGAAACACTGATCGTCATTTTCTGGACCTCACAACTAATGGATTAATTGAGAAAATAATCGAGAGATTAATTGATAATGAATAGAATCATTAGTTGCAGCCCTACTAAGGTGTCGTCATTCATTCATTATTAATAAAGGAAGTACAGCGATACAAACCCAACCGATTCTGTTTAAGTGCTGAAAAAGGTCCGTTCCTCTGTTTTTACATCCTACATGCTTCTTTAATGTACAGACATGAATCTAGAGATTTTTTTTGTTTATCATTTATGTATTTATTTTAGAGGTTTCCATCCTTATGCCACAACGGCATCTCTTTGGTTTCCTCAAATTCTTTACTGCAACCTCCTTTACAACGTATGATTGTGAAACAGCACAAAGCTTGTTTTTTTTGTTTGTTTATGTTTAACGAAAGGGAGTCACATTCACGGCATAACATGAAAATTAACAATCCATTCAAAGTATTGAGTCGCGGTTCAGCCTTGAAGATAAACAGGAAACAAAAATACTACAAGGGTTTAATTTTCACTGTCAACCGTCACAAACAGCTGGGAGAAAGATTGTGACTTCTCTTATAATGTCACTGAAAATCTTTTGTTACATGACTGGGTTGAAGTGAAGTGGCTGGGACTGGGTCCAGTCTACTGGGTTGATGAAGGTGATGCTCAGACCCAAGTCTTCTCTATGACAAAGGTGTTTCCCCACCTCCCCAGGGCTTAGGGAGCTTGGACCGTGGGGAGGACCCTAAAGAGTCAGCCCTGTCATAGGGGTCGCTGCAGCACCTTGTCATGTCTCTAACTCCTGCCCTGCCAGTGGGATGACAAACACAGTGATGTCATCGCCTGAGCCAAGTTTGTCATTGGGTAGCCGCCAGCCGCGCTCTTTCAGCACTCCTCGTGACCTCATCAGGAGGTCCTGGGCTGCCAGTGTATATCTGTGTAACACACAGAGGGCAGAAAGAAAATATGGTCATTACAATAGTGAGCCCCCGCCCTATTTATGCCCTATGTAATTAACTGCAGATGTATGGTCTCAGTAAACAATGAGAATAGTTAGGACAGTAAAGGATGCAGAATTGTTGTGAGACAGTGGAAAGTGTTAACACGCTCATCATTTGTAGTCACACGTGGTCACACGTGGTCACACGCTCATCATTTGAGCACTGGACTGAACTAATATCTAACATGGCAGGTTATGAACTAGTCATATCTAGGACTTTTATGGACTACATCAACAACAGACATTGTTCAACAACTGATCACACATCATGGCCAGCAAAATAGCAACTGATAAAGCCCATTGTCAATATTTGTCTTATTTATTTATTACTTACTCTTTATAGTGAGTATACTGATACATCTACTCTTTGGTACTGTATTGCTGCTTATTACATTCAATATTCTTTTAGCTATGGAGATATGGGGTGGGGTAGGTTGATGGGGGGAAATGTCTTATAACCTTCATGAAATGACAAAATGTTGGACAAAAATATCATTAAAAAACAAACAATAGTGAGATACACTACAATTTAAGATAAGCACAAAGACACAGACAAAACACAGATTCATATTCAATCAAATAAGCATATCAGATAAAATAAAGCTTGCTTTTTGTTCAGTTCTGGTCAACCAATCATCCAATAACAATTGTACACCCATTCTAGGTTTACTATATATGTGTTTGTCTTATGTCTTTGTCCATTTTGACCGTGGTGAAGACACAATAATGTGGAAAGATTGGTTTGTTCACACTATTTTGCTGTCCTTAAGCTGAGAACCACCTGATTCAGCTGCAGACTGCTAGAACAGGAAATAAAGTTAATAAAGTTATATCTTATCTTATCTTAACATGTGCAGATAACTATTTTTAATTTGAGAAATACTTAATTTTACCCCCTATTTAGCATTTATTAACAGCATATACATATTAAAAGTTCAGTGTGTAAGTTTTAGTGGCATCTAGTGTTGAGACTTGCAAATTGAAACCAACTGCTCAGTCACCACTCACCACTCCCTTTGCAAGCGCTCAGGAAATTTTTATAAACCAGATGACTACTACTGCTACTACTACTTCTTCTTCTTCTTCTTCGTACATATTCAACGTTGTGACAAAACGCGCTCTGTAGAGCAGTTTGGGCTACTGTATAAACATGGTGGTACAACATGGCGACTAAGGTAATAAAAGGTCTTTACTGAAAACATAGTTATGTGTATTACATTGAATTTATGTCAACAGATCCTCCTAAATATTACACACTGGACCTTTAAATAGTTTATAACACTCTATAATGTAATTTTTTGTTAAAGTTTAAAGTGTTTTTATGTGTTTCACAACATAATATAACACAGTTGTACTTACATAATATACATCTTAATACGTCATAATATACGTAAGTTTTAATTGTTGAAACATTGCTGTGCATTAACACACATTTAAACATGTCATTATGTCTGCTTGACTTTGCAGGAGACCTAGGTATTTGTCACCATCTAGTGGACACACTTCACTGTGGATTTTTCTGCAGCTTTCATGTACTTTTCTTCTAAATGTTCACATAGCGCAAGACAGAACAAAAAGCCAGAACAAAAGCCCAATGTAAAGGATTATTTGGCAGACTGCATACCTCATGGGATCAGAAGGGTCGCAGCAGGATAAGTAAGCTGACACAGCATCTGCCACTTCCCTGTCCGTTGTCACGTCCCACAACCCATCTGTGCCCATAACCAAGACGTCATCTGGGCCATGTTTGTTTTCATCCAGGTTATAAACCTTCACCTGTGACAGAAAGAAAATTAATAAAAAATATTATTGATACATTTTTATTCATCATCATGCTGGCATGATTTTAAAAACTATTTTGCAGAAAGAATCCAGTTAACATTTTGTGCTTGGTTGTCCTGAAAGCAAATGTATGCTGGCATGCAATGGATAT